GGTTCTGAGCGCACAGTGGGACAGATCGTATTCGCCGCGAGAAAATATGTTTGAGCTCAAAATATGTTTGATATGTTCAAAATTAACAAATTCGTCTTGTTAATTACGGCATTGAACACGCTCAATGACCAAACAATCCGATTTGACTGCTTTTTAATTTGAAGGTGCCATTGGATTAACCGTTGGAACAGTTTGGTATCAAAACATTACCGAAAAACATTAACGAACTGGCGCTACAACAAGATTTCTTTTTTTGGGGCGGGAGTGGGCATGCCATTTGGACACAAACTTCATCTACACGAATATAATACAAGTCCAAGTTCCCCATCTGATAGTTATATCCCTTATAGTCTTCAAGATCCACGAGTTCAAAAATTTATCCCGTTTGTATGGGGAGTAGGGGTAAAATGTAGGTAATGTAAAATGTATATCCTCTTAAAACCGGATGAAATTTCTTTTTCATATATAATCAATCAATTATAGAAATAGTTTGGTATCAAAAGTTTTTCAACTAACCTTTCGTACTGTCGCTACAGAAATTCTTAGTTTGTGGTGGTATTGAAAAGAAACTTTAACTTCGTGTGTATTGAAGGAGTCTCCATGATCCGAATGATTCGAGCTTCTTGATCCTTCTATTCTTTTGCCAATATTTAACGTAAATCTTTATCCTTCTTCGCTGTCATATAAAAATATCTCATATTCTTCTTAGCTAGGTATTGCGTATCTCTTTGTCTCATTTTTCAAGCTTATTTGTCATTTCATTTGATCTCAATTCTTCTCATTCCTATAAATTACCAAAAATAAACCACTTTTATTTGTCAAAATTTCAATATCATGAAGTTCTCAAGGCTCTTTCAACTATAGATTTCTCATTTTCTGCTGTTCCTGAAAATGTCCCTAGTTGTGTTCTTAGGCACTGCTCCAATATCCTTTGCTATCCTCTTACTATCTTATTCAATTTATCCTTGGAGCTCGCAAGTCTTCCCAAGAGATGAAAATCATCATTTATTATTCCATAATAACCGCGGTTTCGGGTGGAAGCATAGAATTTCTAAGCTATCTGCGATTCCCAAACTGCTGGAAAAACTGATTACTTCACAACTGCAACATTTTTGCAAGAACATCATATTCACCTCAAAGTGTAGTTTTATAAATAATCTACTAAATTTATGTATGCTGATGATTTCACGTTATTATTTTTTTTGGGTTCGTAAATTATGACTATGTTTTAAAACCCACTTTTGTGGGTGTACCCATGAAAAGTTGTCGCTAATAGGTAATAGGTGTCGCAGCTGTGCGACCAATAGAAGGGTGGGCAAGCGAGAGTCGCCCATAAACACCTCGGGTCTTAGTCTAACTAGAAGAGGCTAAGAAAAGAAAATCTCTCTCTCATCATATAGGATATCGGGTAGTTCCGTTCCATTCAGGAGAGAGTCATTTCGTAACTACGCAAATATAAAACAGTACATTTATTTTTTTGAGGCAGCTTTGGGTGTCAGCATTTGACACCCCCTTTGCCTACAAGCTGAAGCCGGATATCACAGAGTGTGCTTGATCCCAAAATCAACAACAGCCCTTCCCATATAAATGCTATTTATATAAGTAATATAAAATATATATAAATAGCGTTGTTACGCAACGCATGCGAAAATAATTAATACATAATTAAAAGGGCTCAATTAATTAAAGCATATTGGAAACATTAAAGATTTTGGAAACAACACTGGCGTCCCTTCGAAAGCTTGAAAATAAAAGCTTTAAACACACCGTGTAATTAAGTAAGATGTCAGAGGTATAATCTACTTGGATAATTTCTTATGAATGAAGCCGAAGTAAGATCCAATTTCCATTTTGCCTTAAATCAGTAATATTTTATTTCAAATATATTCAGTTTCCCAACCCTAAGAAGGGAACTGGTTTTAGAAAAGTTTGCAAATGCCATTGTTAAATGTAAAGAGCGCCAATCCACAAATGTAAGCAAAAATATATTTAAGTCTTAAATTTTATTATACATTTCCATAAAGATTTCAGCGTTTCGTGTCAGCTTGATTTACGTGGGAGGCTCAAGGGACCCAGGGGTGTCTCAACATTCTGAAATACTTTACCATCCGAAAAACCACCTGCCAAGAGTGTACGGCTTCTGGAAATCATTTATTTAACTTTACCATGGGTGTGAAAGGAAAGAGGGCGTATTTAGTATACTATATAAGATAATAAGGATTAATAAAGGGGTGGGGGATATGTAGGTGGTGGGATATCAGACAATCAATATACTTAGGTACAAAGATCTTCATAGGATTTTATGTTTTCTGGACTCATATATCCCCCTGTCCCCCCTCCGCGCCTATCTACGCCACTGATTACCAGCCAGTAAAGAATGACGTCAAAAATTGTCAAATGGATAAAAATATAAGAAGCGAATCTAGCGATCAACTTTCCCAAAATGTTGTGGTTGGATTAGGGTCAATAGGAAGCTCAGGGTGTAGTTTCACTGGACCGTTCGCTAGAATTGTTAATGAAACTTTGTCAAGGCAAACAATGATAAACAGTTCGTGTCGCTTGAAAGTACAAGTCGCGCGGGTATGCGCGAACCAAATAAATTACGTTGTGTCTTTACCAAATGATGAAATAGCTAAACAAATAGCTAGATAAATATGAGCGTCACACGAACGCAGGCATCAAAAATGCTCAAAAGGTAACGACTTCTAATATGCAGCAGAGAGCTATGCTAGACTTATACCAAGTGAAGCAACATAAATGGTTTCATTGTGGAATACGGCTATCCAGCCGTCCATCCACAAACCAAAGGCGCGGCTGTATTCATGCTGAATAGTGGTGCGCAGACGGTTCTTCCTCAGAGTGCCCACGAATTCATAAAAAACGACTCAGCCAAATTTAGATACAATGCAATTCAGCAGCATTTTTTGTTGAAGTCTTTTGGCGTCCAAGAATCCAAGAAAAATTAATAGTCGCTAAAAAAAACACGAATGAAAAAACAAAGTACATTCCCACCGAAAGTGGTTGGGAATCCAGTCTGTAGTGGAAATATAAGAATGTAGAATAGCTTGAACCCTTTTATTCCATGGCTCTCAAACGCCTCAAGTGCTAAACAATATCAAGTTGATCCATCCGCGAAGGGTTATCAAATTCCAAACTTTTTAAGGACTTTCTAACTCGCTTAACTATACCTAAGATTCTTCAGAGGTCCGCCAGCAGTACCCCACAAAGCGTCGGGTACTGAGTACAGTAATGTGCATTTTTGATCCTCTCGGACTACTTGGACTCTTTAACATTCGTGCTGAAATAATCCTTCAGAACATATGGAGATCCGGTTTGATCAGGATGACGCAATCAAAGACTCATAAGAATGGCTAGCGGGCATGGCAATCCTCACTGTCCAAACTGTGATTTGCGTATCCCACGATATATGTATTGCTCAAAGAGTGCAGAAAGTGTGCAACTGCATAAATATGCGGGTACTTGCGAGTTGAAGATGGCGGCAAAAGACATGGTCTTTATTCGAGCATGCCAAAAAGAAATGTTTATGATGAAATACGGTTCATAAAGAAGGTTGGTTCTCTATCGAGCCGAAAAAGCAGCATATTGAAATGTTCGTCGTATCTTTACGAGAGTGAATCGTATGCAAGTCCAGAATCTGGTTCTAAACAAGTTCTAATTCTGCAAATGACTTTATATAACGCATTTGTTAAAAATATATTAAATTTATAAATTTTATTCTTTATTTTTGTGTTTCGTGTACAAAGTCAGCTCGATTTAGGTAGGAGGCTCAAGTGAACCGGGAGCGTCCAGGTTAAAGTAAACTTTATAGATTAATTTGTTATCCTGTACAGGGTTGCCCATATTCGACGGACCCATGTTTTTTTTTTTTTAAATCAAAGAAAAAAATAAAAATTTGGCGGTTGGCAATCTTAATCATTTAATTTGTTCCAAGTAGATTTGTTTACATCAATTTTTGAATATGATATCTTTCAAATGGCCGCATCTGGCGTTGATGGCGTATTGTGCCCCTTTTTGCAGCATTTTCCATCGTTTTCGCCAACATTTCGGCCGGAATAGCGGCTATTTCTTCACGAATGTTGTCCTTGAGCTCTTCTAGGGTCCTTGGCTTGTTAACGTAAACCTTTGACTTCAAATATCCCCACAAGAAGAAGTCAGGCGGCGTCAAATCGGGCAAACGCGGTGGCCAGTCCAAATCACCACTTTTCGACATCAAACGGCCCAATGACCGTTTTCGAACTAATGCCGCACCAAACTGTGACTTTTTCGTCGTGAAGAGGCACTTCTTGAATCTTCTCAGGATTTTCAGCAATTTACGGCAATACGGCAATTTTGCTTATTTACGGTCCCATTCAATGTGAAATGGGCTTCATCGGACATGATAATTTTGATAATGCAAAAAGGGCACAATACGCGATCAACGCCAGAGGCGGCCATTTGAAAGATATCATATTCAAAAATTGATGTAAACAAATCTACTTGGAACAAATTAAATGATTAAGATTGCCAACCGCCAAATTTTTATTTTTTTCTTTGATTTAAAAAAAAAAACACGGGTCCGTCGAATATGGGCAACCCTGTACTTATCCATGTACATTTTTTTTTACAAGTGTGTTACGTTCCTACTTTTTTAATCGGTAGATTAGTGAAAGATACACTATATAGCAAGTAAATAAGTCAGCCTAAAATCCTTTAGGATATTAGTATGTATAAGTTAACATTTAAGTTAATTTTTGGTCTTTTTCCTTTACAGAGTGTTGGATAAAAAAATGTAAAACAGTTGGTTGTTTTACGATTAATTAGAAAAGTTGCAAATTAAACACTTGCGAAATTTACTCTGAGAAGATATCAGCCCTATGCAGAGGATTGGTAAAAATTGATAGATTTGTAAAAACCTAACAACTATTAGAAGATCCAGCGGATCCAATTCATATCTTCGGTACCAGGTACTCATTCTTTCCTTGAATGATAACAATAAAATGCATGTTTTTATATATCTTTATTGAGTTATAATTTTATAATATATGCACATTTTTCGCCAATTAGTAAATATATAGGAACTTTATAGTTATGTATTTATGTATATCTTTTTCATTTTTTAATATTTTCAGTAACTCCTCCAGTATTACATCATTTTACTTTACAATTATGTTTAAATGATTTTTTTTTTCATGAACTGCACTGTATTCATTGGATGAGTAACTATACAAACGTATGGAGAAGTATTCATGAAGATTTATATACTAAGAATATAAGAAATTAGGATTGCAATATGAAATAGTTGGGCATTAACGCCTATAAGAATCCCAATGAGACTTTACTTATGAAAGGTTCAAAAAATCGATATACTTTTAAATTATCAATTTTAATTACAGACCAAAATATAAGTATTTTTGTATATTTACCTTATACCCTGATATGTTATATACTCATACATATGTGATTCTATGAACTGAGCAATGAAACAAGTCCACCAATTACTATGCGAGGTCTTGGTTTTCTGTGTATAAGTATGCATGTTTTCAATTTTTTAACTAATATTTTGTGTGCGTAAGCTAATAATTTTTTAAACATTCCTTAAATTTCAATATAAGAAACTAAAATCGATACCGCTTGGAAAGCTTGTATTTCTCTTAAAATGAAATGAAATTTTAAAATTTTTTAAATTAAAAAAAGTCTGTGGAAGATCGTTACAGTGATAATTGAAAAATGATTTATTATGTTAACAAAAACGCTTCCACAATTTTGATTTAAAAAAAAAAAGCCTCCAACATTTAAGAATATGATTAATATATATACCACTTTTCTTATTTAACACTATAGGAACATCATAGTAGTTTTTAATGTATCTCAACACTTTATTTTAAGTTAGTTTGTAAACATTTTTTATGGGAACTAAATGTGTTTACACGAATATTGTGTTATACAAATGTTGTTAAAAAATCAGTCTAATGCAATATCGTTGAAAATTTTTATTCCATTTTACGAAATTAATCATTATTTCGAATAAAGATAACGGTACTATAATAAGCTTAAAAGTTCACAATCATATAAGCTTCTTAGTGAAAAACTTATTAATTTAACGTAGAAAGAATAATATATTTAAAAAAAAAAAAGTAAAGTGTAAATTTTGTAGTAGATCATCCACAAAGCTAATGAATATATAATATAAGATCAAAAGATGGGTGATAGATTGTAACAAACATTTAACAAGAAAACGATAGATAGATTTAACGAAATAAAACATTTTAAATTACTCTTTGCTGTGTTACAAAATTCTTCTCATTGTTGGAAATTGAAACATATTAATTATTAAACTAATTAAGATACGAATTTAAAAGAATTAAATATCCTTTTTTTTATTTTACGCAAAATAAATCATTGGCACGTTTTTTTTCTCATCAATGATGATAGATGATCAAAAATTTTTCTTAGTTCACATATTTTTAAAACTGAATTGAAGTTTCTTAAGATTTTATGGTGGGGTAATAAGTGCCTTTAAAATATGTTTTGAAGAACAGGACATTCGGCAAGCCGAAACAGATCTTAGTATCTTCATTTATTCATTGTACTCTTAAAAATAAAACAAAGGCATAAAGCAATCAAATGCTAGGAACTTAGTTTGCGTTTCATTAAACCTAATACTTTTATTACTTAATTTTATTTTTTTTTTGACATTGCGACATGATTTATGTTTTTTCATTTGTAATTCGCAAAGATGACCACAATTGTGTACATATTATTTTTATTTCTACGTTACATTTAAAATAAATAGGAACACTTCCGTATAATTTAGAGTTTCTTACTAGTGTTATGTTAGGTATTCGTAAGATTTATTTTAGAAATATCTTTATATACGTATGGTATCGTGGAATGCCTATGATTTTGTAATATTTCGATAAAATAGGAACTATCAAGTTTTCGTATTAATATATACGGCTATATATGCTCATCTTTTATGCACATATATATGTGTTTATTTTCCTTATTTCATTTTCGAATGCGTTTTTGAGTCCTGAAATAAGATTCTATTTAGCTCTTCATAAGTATAAAAAGTATAAAACATACCTGTGTATTAGTCCATTGTTTGTTGCGAAACTCACAATCCATTTCACTTTCCACCTATAACTAATAAAATAATAGTTACTATTTATGTTATGTCCCTGTTAATATTCAATATCCTAATAAAACTGAAAAATACTTATTTTATTTTGTAAAATTATTTTCTAGAAAAACAAATTAAGAAAACGCAGAAACGAAAAAACTTATTTTTTATAAAATAAATGTTTATTTTTTTGTTGTACATATTGTCAGCATTCTAATATAATTCAATTTTATTCATTTTTATATATAAATTAAAATTACGAATTTTCAATAAAATTATTTTTAGCACCAATAAATGGAATTTATACAGACGAGTATTAAAGCAAACTTATATATTGATTTTGTGGAAGTGGGGCTGTTTGGAATGGAGCAAGTACACCCAAGTACCATGTACTTCTCAGTTCATATAAAATAACACTAAGTGTTTCTATATATGTATTTATTTTAGTTCTCATTATAGTTTTAGGTATCCTATCCCATATGCGGGGGTCTATTAATTACATAGGTTCACGAATTCGAACAAATTTTACAATTTTCCCACTGAAGAGTTTTTTCTTAAAGATTTTAGTTTTCAAATCATTGCCTTAGAATTTGTTCACCAGGGTTTCAAAATATTTCTTAAGAAATATTTTTTTGACAAAACTCTTTAAATACAGTCCAATTGGTGGAATTCACATACTTCGGCCGTAGCTGAAGTTTACATAATCTTGCAGCTAAGATTTGATACACATATATCGCAAATATCGGATATAGTTGGCCTATCCCTTATTAAACCAATTTCTTATAATACCAAAAAAATAACAAATAAAACATATATTTTCAAAAATACCAAAGTTGGGTATTTTCCGATCGTTCAGTAATACGGCAGCTAGAGAATAGTCGGCGGATCCCATCCATTCCAACATATATAATAAAGGTAATTGCAAATAGCGATAATTGTCGATAGCTGTAAAACTGAGAGATTTGTTCGAGAAGAAACAGCCAGACAGACGTCCTTGCTTATATAAACTCAAAAGGTGGTTTCAAATATATATACTTTATAGGGTCGGAGATGTCTCCTTCACTGCGCTGCACACTTTTGATCAAACACTTTTGGCTGATCCGAAGTTGATATACCCTTCCATTAAAATAACAGTTCATATTATATCCATATCGAATCGGATATTTATCGATGTGCGGAATTGACAGCTTAGACAAGTTATTTCTCAAGAAAAATCGAAGATATCGACAAATATTCAATTGTTTATAAGTGTAAACTTTTTAATAAAATTAAAAATACCTTTTTTTTTACATAAAATAAAAGTTACTTATTTGTAAAATTTACATTCATTTAATACCCAATGCCACAGAGTGGTGCACTACCATATATCGTGGACGCCTTAGAAATCAAGTATTGCTGCCTGGCTGTAATGCTGGATGTCAAACAAGCCTTCGACCGGGTCTGGCACTCCGGTTTCCTGCTTAAATTGAAGAATACCCAAAAGACTGGCCAGACCTTACTACCTCTTCCTGGAACTTGCGGTCAGATACGGAGAGGCCACTTCCGGACTCAGGGAGGTCCGCGCCGAAGTCCCCCAAGGCGTGCTGGACCCTTTATTATACAATGTCTACACGGCCGACCTCACAGTCTTGCAGAGCCCCAACATAATGGCAGCCACCTATGCGGACGATACCGCCTTCCTGACCGCTGCTGACAACGCTACAGAGGCAGCTGCTGTCATGCAGGAGCAATCTTCTCGGCAATTGGCACATAAGGTGGAAGGTGGATAAATCCACCGCCACCACATTTTCTCTACGTCCAGGAAATTTCCCACCGGTCCACCTCAACAGCTCCGCAGGTAGAAAACCCAAGAAACCTGGGCTTTACGCTATACAGAAGTCTTACTAAAAAGCCTTACCTAGACAAAAAGCGAAAGCAGTATGAAGTAAGATTAAAGGCTTACTATTAGGTGATGGATAGGAGGTCGAAGCTGAGGACTTCTTCAAAAATCCTAATCTAAAAAGGCGATTATTCGGCCAATTTGGACATATGGGATCCAACTTTAGGCCACGGCCAGCAAGACTAATATTCGGACTATCCAGACATTTGAAAACATAGCCCTCCGTATCGCCATGGGGGTACACGTCTACCACGACAACCAGAATAATTTCTGGTTAGAAGCCAACTAGAACTAGAAGCCAAGTTTTCTATCACAATATTTAATGGTATAATTAATTTAAGGGTATAATTGTGAATATACAAATGTTGCATTAGAAGGCAGATTCCGGTGTTTACTTTTTGAAGTAAATTACTTTTTTTGGCAAAAAGTAAAAGTAACGTTCCCGTGTTCAATTTTATATTTCCTCTTTTCTTTTCAAAACGACAGGTTTCGTTCAAGTAAAATGAAAAGTATGTGACTTTTTCACCCCCAAATCGACATCAATCCTTGACAAGGGCATTATAATTTTGCTCAAAAGTGTGCAACGCTTCTCTGAATGGCCGGAATATATCCGTCAATGGCCAACTTATTCTAAAACTGCCATCTAACTGGTTGACCAAAAGGGATATATCTGTGGTTTTTTTTTTGAAGAAAGAAGCTTGGGACATTTCTTTAACTTTTGTATTTAAATAAATTGGTTTTATTATGGATAAGGATCGGGCAACTATATTCGATATTTTCTATATTTGTTCAATCTTAACGGCAAGGGTATGTCAAGATTCTGTCCGCCCAAATTTAGTTTTATATTCTTGTTATACTCTTGGAGAGGGAATTTTAATTATAAAATTGGTCAAAAGTTTGCAACGTAGAGGAGTGTAATACGTATAAGTTATCCATCTTGGTTTCCGTCTATTGGTCTGTTTTTCCGTGTGTCTGTTTCTTCACGAGCTAGTCTCTCAGTTTTTGGAGGAGAGGTGGAGTTTTTGTTATTGAGTCGACCTAATAATTTTATATGGATCAGCCGACTATATCTATAGTCGCCATATAACTGAACGATCGAAATTAACACAACTTTGATATTTTTTAAGAAGTATCGGCCGACTATATTTGACATTTACAATACATGTCTCATCTTATTTTTAAATTTGTGTTTTAACGGCAAGGATGAGTCTGAAGTTCAAGACTTCAAAAAGTGGGTTTTTGGCTTTTAGCCCCCTGGGAAGGCCATATCTTGGCCAATTCTCATCCGATTCTTGCAAGGAGTATCTTAATCGATTTGTGCATAGATTTCCCATCATTCTGCATCCAAACCTTTAGAAAGATTTTAAGCACTTTTCTTTAATATATCATTTATAGATCTTGAAATATTTTAATGAAAAGACGTATACACTAGGTATAAATTAGCAAGTTTGAATAAAAAAATTTTTCATTGTCAGAATTTTCAAAAGGATGACTATGTATTTATATAAAACAATAAATAAACCCGAAAATATATTCTAAAAGTTTCAAAGTTTCTGATCATCTGGTCAATACCAGCTGGTCGCTCGAAAACGACCTTTTTTTACATATTCGGCAATGTTGACCAATTGAGCGAAAACTATTGATTGATTGACGTGATTGAAGCGGTGATTATAATCATAATCATAAAAAAAATACGTCAATTGGAAAATGAAATTTTTGTTGACCTGTGTTATTATATTTTTTGTAATTGCGAGGCATTAAATCTACATGCTTATTTTTATTAGTCATTTTTAGTTAAAATTTTAAATTAAAGAAATAGTGAAATGTATGTAAACCATAAAAAAAACTGATATATTTTGATTTATGTTATACTAAAAAGAGTCACATGTAAGAATAGCTTTTAGAAATATGATAATGAAAAAAAAACTAAATGTTGACTACACATGTTGGCAACAGGCAGTTATCAAATGAAATACATTTTCTTATGCACCGGAAAGAATAAAAATGTACACCAAATAGAGGTGGGATCATTCTAGAAATCTCTGTCTTTTAATGTCAGCGAGCAAACAATTTAATTTATATTTGAAATACATTAGTTAAATTGAATTATTACACCAACTAGAGGAAAACAAAACATAAGTATTTTTTCAACTTATACATGAGTGTAATGGTAAAAAAAAAAGATTCGATCAATAGATTCGACCAAAGAGGTCAAGTTCGCCGACACTCTTACCGGTGATATGATTTCGGTTGAATAGTTGTTGAATAAGATCCTGGTTACCAGCTACGTTTTTTTCGTTTTCAGACTCAACTTGGACTGTGGAGCCTTTATTGCAGGTAGTAGTGTCACAATTTAACATGATGTTGTCTTCATGCAGCCTCTTTGTATCTGCCCCGGTTCCTGATATATGAGTCGAAGCAATGCTTGTTGCATTTGAAACAACATGCTGTAACAGAAAAGCCTTTGATAAATTGTAAAAGCGTTTTTCTCTATCTGAGTCATTGTCATCGCTGCCGCTGCCATTGCTGTTGGAGTAAAGCTCGGTGGTTTGTTTAAAAAGCTTTTTCATCTTGCAAATATGTTCATCACTAAAAGCGTGTTTTTGAATGTTGACTTGGGTGACTTGGCACAACTCACAGTCTTGCAAATTTCTATCAGAATCCAGTTTCTTAGAAGCGTAGTTACTTTTGAGGTCGTTGGCTACTTCCTTGCCACTTGAACCATCATAACTATTGTCATCTGATATATGTGCGTAATGGCGCTGATTACGGGTTTTTTTATCTTTGGCTCGAGAGTTTTGAAACCAGACCTAAAAATGAAAAAAAAAATCAAAAAAAATTGGAACTTAGTCAAATAAGAACATTTGAAAAATTATAACACAGATTACCTTTATAAATATTTACATTATGCAATCTTGAAAATTGGGAACAAATAAAAGCAGTCGTTTTCCAATAACTATTTAGAGTGTATTTTTGTCGTAAAATTTCAATTCATTACAAATAAAAGCAGTCGGTTTCCAATAACTATTTAAAGTATGTTTTTGTTTCGTAACATTTCAATTCCTTACGGCTTCTTCACTAAAATAAATTATAAAAGCAATAAAATTATAAATAATTGATTATGAAAAAGTTTTTTAAGAATTAATAAATAAAGATGTGTTCAATTAATATAAATAAATAAATTATAATGCACATATGTAAATAAAAAAAGGCTTCAGTTTCGTTATAATTCGGAATTATTAATATGTTATTATAATTTTGTTTTAAAGCAGACCACTGCAGTGGTCGGAACGGCCCTATCCCGCGAGCACAGGAAATTTCTCTGTCCGAGCTCTACCACCCACACAGTATAAGTGTGTGAAACGTCATGCTCACAGCCTACCCAGCAGTTCGGCTGGTGGCAATAGTTCTTTTTGGGTATGGATTTGGGTACTCTTTTGTGGGTACCCATATCGCTTACTATTGGTATAGCGGCTTGGGTACTCTCTGCTTCATGTCTTTTTTGTATAACGCTGCGGTCGCACCACAACAAAGCGCAAACGAAAATTAGCATTTAAAGGAAATGACCGCTTAGAAAGTGGACTTGCAGTTAATTGTTTGTTTTTGTTGCTAGAAGCAGTTAAACAGATGCGAGTATATACTTTGGACTCCTTTTGGGTACGACGGTCGGACCACCACAAAGCACAAACGAAAATTTTCGCTGCTTTTTGGTGCCATAAACAGATAAACAGTAGCAAGCAGATTCAGAAAAACTGTTTTTTGTTATTTTGTTTCTTATTCTTCTCTTTTTTTGATTTTTGCTTCACTATAACTTGAGCATATTTTGTGACGCGTCGTGAAAGCGTGAAAGTGTGGTAAATATTAAATAAATAATAAATACACAATAAAAACTATATTAAAATAATAAAAATAAATATTTAAAACAGTGACAGTGAATCAGTGAATCAGTGATAAACAAAGGATTAAAAAGGTAATAATTATAATTATGGTTGGCAAAAGGCAACTAGGTAGACTCAAAAAACAAGAAAAAGACAAATATGTAGGGCGACTTAGGCAAATTGCCCAACGAAGACGAGGACAAATTAATGAAGAAAATAGAGAAGAAATAGACGAAATTAATCTGACAATAAACAATGACAATGACAATTTAGTTAATATTGAAATGGGTGAAGAATTAAACTGGCAGACTGACGAACCCAATGACATTTTAAACCAAAATTTAAAAAAGTGGTTTATTAAGCATAAGCCTAAGCGTGACTGTGTGTTAGATTTAATTAAAGTTCTTAAGACAAGTAACATCAATGTTGACGGCTTTTACAAATTTAATTGTAGTTCAAAGCCAGAAATACACCGAATTAGTGGTGGTAATTATTTAAATGTTGGTGTTGCTCGTCAAATAAAAAAAGTTCTTAGTGTTGTTGATTGTCCAAGTGATTTAAGTGTTGATTTCAATATTGATGGGTTGCCTTTATTTAAAAGCTCAAGCACTCAACTTTGGCCTATTTTGTGTAAAATTAATAACTTAAAAAATTCACCTGTTTTGCCAGTAGGAGTGTTTTTAGGAGAAAAAAAGCCAGAAAGTTTGGATGAATTTTTAGGATTTCTAGTAGATGAATTGGACAATATTTTAAAAAATGGAATAGAGCATAATGGTAAACATGTTAACATACAAATTCGGGGATTTATTTGTGATGCACCTGCGAGAGCCTTCATTAGCGGTGCTCCTGGACACACTGCTTCTGATGGCTGCGCAAAATGTACGCAAAAAGCGAGAAAAATTGACCATGTCTTAACATACAGTACAGTAGCGGAAGACATTATTACCGATGCGGATTTTTCGAACAGAAAATATCCCTTTCATCACACTCCTCAATTTCAGAATAAAAAAACTCCATTAGAGCGCATCAATCTACAGATGGTATCGCAAATACCTCTAGATTGTATGCATCTAATGGATTTAGGAGTTGTGAGAAAATTTTTGATTCGTTTAATGCGAAATAAAATGCGTGTAAAAATTAATAACGAACAGAAGAAAAATATATCAAAATCCTTGGTTTCTCTGAGAAAATATGTTCCAAAAGAGTTCCAGAGAAAACCAAGAGAATTGTCTGAAATTTCATATTGGAAAGCAACTGAATTTCGTCAATTTGTTTTGTATACTGGTGTATTTGTTTTAAAAACCGAAATTCCGTCTGATCATTATTATGTCTTCTTGTTACTTCATTGTGCGTATAGATTGTTATGTTCCGCAAAGTATAGTCCGTCCAACTTAGGTATGTGTCAAAATATGCTCGAGCTCTTTGTCCAAAATTTCCCAGCCATTTTTGGAGACAACAGTGTAAGCTATAATGTGCACAGCTTGCTTCACATTAAAGACACTTTTGATCTGGTGGGAGATCCCGTAGAAGGCTCAGCGTATAAGTTTGAAAACTATTTACAAACGTTGAAACGTTGCATACGCAAGCCTACAAAGATTCTACAACAAATCCACAGAAAAATTGAGGAAGACTCAATTGAGTCTTTCACTGAGGATTATGGGGCCAAAATAAAAAAGAATTACATTTTATTTAAGGGGTGTACAATAACAAACACATCACCAAACAATTATTGTTACATAAAAGACAATACACCAGTTATTGTTACAAAAATTTCAACTGAGAATGGGGGAGGTTTTACTGGACGAAAATTGCAAAACATTCGAAGCTTCTATGACGAACCCATAAATTCAATAGATATAGGCGTATATTTAGTTGACGTAGCTACGACTGAAAATGACGAAAATTTTATTTTGGAAGACCTTACATGTAAGGCTTTTGCCATCCCCCATGAAAATAGTATTTTGTTGTTGCCTTTGCTCCATAATTATACCCTTGCAGAGGGTATTATAATTTTGGTCAAAAGTGTGCAACGCAGTGAAGGAGACATCTCCGACCCTATAAAGTATATATATTCTTGATCAGGATCACCTCCTGAGTTGATATGAGCATGTCCGTCTGTCCGTCTGTCCGTCTGTCTGTCCGTCTGTCTGTCTGTTTCTACGCAAACTAGTCTCTCAGTTTTAAAGCTATCGTCTTGAAACTTTGCACACACCCTTCTTTCCTTTGCACGCAGTATATAAGTCGGAACGGCCCGGATCGGCCGACTATATCCTATAGCTGCCATATAACTGATTGATCGGAAATGGTATAACTTTGGTGTTTTTAAAGTTAGAGAGTTCAAATTTTAGGTGAGAGCTATTTTTGGCAAAATAATACGACATGCTAAATTTCGTAAGGATCGGCCGACTATATCCTATAGCTGCCATACAACTGAACGATCGGAAATGACCCAACTTTAACCCAACTCGTGTTTTTGAAGATAGAAAGCTGGAACTTGGTACAGATTATATATTTGGTCAGTTGATCCGACCTACCAAATTTCATTAGGATCGGCCGACTATATCCTATAGCTGCCATATAACTGAACGATCGGAAATGGTACTTGGTAGAAATATCAACTTTCGTATTTTTGAAGATAGAAGTTTGGGACTTTTTTTAGATTTTGTATTGTAAAAAATTGGATTACATATTCCTATTGCCATAAGGATCGGCCAACTATATCCGATGTTTGCGATATATATCCGGTTTTAACTGCAAGGGTATATAAACTTCGGCTCCGCCCGAAGTTAGCTTTCCTGTCTTGTTTTTAATTAATATCCTTTAATGTATCCTGAAATTTATCTAAGATGTCCGAAAGCCTTCGTAAAATTCAGCGTCTTGCTTTCAACAATATCCGTAAGTTTTTAATGATTAATTTTAAGTGTTTAAACTAATGTTTAAAAAATTCATATTCTAGAACCACAATCAAAATGCAATTGTCTGGCGAACTTGGAGAGAAAATTAGATCTTCTCATCGATAAAGTTGAAAAATTGGAAGGAAAGTATTAATTTTATTTATATTGTATTCACATTTACTAATTAAAATTTTTATTACTTTTAGTGGAACACAGTATAACCCACGACCAAATACAAATAGTTGTGGAAGCGCTAGCCGAGCAAAAAACCGATATCAGATTACTTCAGCAAGGTCACATAAATGTGAACGAACTGCGAAGCCAGTTCCCAATTAAAAACGGAGAGGATCTCAATATTCTTAATTCTAAAATAAACGAGAACAACAAAAATAACTATGTAAGTATCATCAGAAAGCTGCCTTGAATTATTAATAAATGAAAATTTATTACAGGTGTCAATTGTAAGGCATTTGTTGCAGCCTGGTGGAGTTGCTAAAAACTTAAAAAATATTTTAAGCGATTCATTGATGATGCATTATAACGTCGATGGAGTGCAGGGGAAATCCTCATTGAAAACAGCGCAAAATGTATTTTCTGTACTAATTGGTAAGAATTTAAAAACAATATTGGTTTTAATTTTAATAATGATTTTTTTTATAATATTAGATGCAATTACTGCTGATGGCGGCAATGGAACCGCAGACAGTCAACTTCGCCGGGCAATTCAATTGCAAAAAAAAAGGCAATTAAAAAAAAAATATGCCTCAAGCAACAACAACAACGACAACAACAACAACACATAATTTTTTCACAAATAACATAAGTATTTTTAAGCCAAATGAAATAAAATGGAAATAATTTTATAAATTTGGAAACATGAATTAAATGTATTTTTATTATATTAAACAATTTTATGAATTTTGAAACATGAATTAAATGTATTTATATTATATTAAATAATTTTATATATAATAAAAAACAAAAATTTATAAGAAAAAAAAAATCTTTTTCTGGGTATGTAAATCGCTGTCCCTTGGTAGATACCCAAGTGGCTATACTGTATAGAGTATGTAAATCGCTGTCCCTTGGTAGATACCCAAGTGGCTATACTGTATAGAGTACCCAATTCCGTACCTAAATCGATGTCCCTTAGTAGTATGTATTTGGGTACTCCTTTTGGGTACCCCAATTCGATACTCATTGGTATACGAAGAGGTGACGATTGTACACCGCCTATGACATGCCTTAGTTAAATTCGCCTCTGAAATACATGTCTTAGGTATTGACTGGTGGGTACTCGTCTACCCCAGGGGCATAGTGAATTCGACACCCATGCACTAGTTTTTTGTTACTAATACTAATGCGTTAAAATCATATCAATGTATTGAGTGCTGATCGCTGTTTTAAAGTAAGCTAAGCATTAAAATAAACATATTCAACACTCAAATCAAAAAAGGCTCGTTGTTATAACTGTTAGCATAAAGGTTGTTATTTTGTTGTGACGGTTGTAACGCATTAATGGAATAATCTTCAGCCCAATAATATATGTATACATACATATGGGCATTTTCTTTCGGTTTTTTATTAGCTCTATGCGTAATGAAAATAATGGGATTCATCATGTTTAAGTTTTCACAATAAATATTTTGAAAGAGGATACATATAGCACACCGTAAAAAAAATAATAGGATTCATCATGTTTCAGTTTTCACAATAAATTTTTTTAAAATGGATACATATAGCACACCGTAGAGTGTTTAAATAAGAAAATTCACATCTTCACTTTTCTTTTATTTACTATTATATATTATTTATTCTTTTTATACCCTTGCAGAGGGTATTATAATTTTGGTCAAAAGTGTGCAACGCAGTGAAGGAGACATCTCCGACCCTATAAAGTGTATATATTCTTGATCAGGATCACCTCCTGAGTTGATATGAGCATGTCCGTCTGTCCGTCTGTCCGTCTGTCTGTCCGTCTGTCTGTCCGTCTGTCTGTCCGTCTGTCTGTCCGTCTGTCTGTCCGTCTGTCTGTTTCTACGCAAACTAGTCTCTCAGTTTTAAAGCTATCGTCTTGAAACTTTGCACACATCCTTCTTTCCTTTGCACGCAGTATATAAGTCGGAACGGCCCGGATCGGCCGACTATATCCTATAGCTGCCATATAACTGATTGATCGGAAATGGTATAACTTTGGTGTTTTTAAAGTTAGAGAGTTCAAATTTTAGGTTAGAGCTTTTTTTGGCAACATTATACGACATGCCAAATTTCATAAGAATCGGCCGACTATATCCTATAGCTGCCATATAACTGAACGATCGGAAATGACCCAACTTTCGTGTTTTTGATGATAGAAAGCTGGCACTTGGTACACATTCTATTTTTGGTCAGTTGATCCGATCTACCAAATTTCATAACGATCGGCCGACTATATCTTATAGCTGACATATAACTGTAAGATCGGAAATGGTTTTTGGTAGAAATACCAACCTTGGTATTTTTGAAGATAGAAGCTTGAGACTTTTTTTAGATTTTGTATTGTAATAAATTGGATTATATATTCATATTCCCATAAGGATCGGCCAACTATATCCGATGTTTGCGATATATATCCGGTTTTAGCTGCAAGGGTATATCAACTTCGGCTCCGCCCGAAGTTAGCTTTGCTTTCTTGTTTTTTATTTACATTTCGGTACAGAACGTACGGGTAGAGCATGTGTATGTGTTTTTTAAAACATAGATAAAAGGTAAAATTTAAATAACCCGTTAAATAACCAATTTTTCATTTTTTTATGCGTTTTTCTTCTCTTGTAAGGGAAGTATAAAGATATTTGACATAAAGACTGCAAACACATAAATAGTATAAATAGTAGCTAAGGAAAATTATAGTAGCTAAGGAAAATTATTAAATTAAACATAAATTTTAGTACACTGCAAATACCAATATAAACACAAAAAGCTCTATAAAGAATATAAAAGGAGCATAGATTTTTTATAGAAAACTAAAAACTTATTTTCTTTATATTTTAATATTTATAAAAACAAGAAAGGAAAGCTAACTTCGGGCGGAGCCGAAGTTGATATGCAGTTAAAACCGGATATATATCGCAAACATCGGATATAGTTGGCCGATCCTTATGATTCCATCATAATAAAACCAATTAATGAATACTAATGAAATTTAGTAGGTTGGATCAACTGGCCAAAAATAGAATCTGTACTAAGTTTCAGCTTTCTATCTTCAAAAACACGAAAGTTGGGTCATTTTCGATCGTTCAGTTATATGGCAGCTACAAGATATAGTCTTCCGATCCTTATGAAATTTGGCATGTCATAATGTTTTACCAAAAATAGTTCTCGTGTCAAATTCGAACTCTCTAACTCTAAAAACACGAAAGTTGGGTCATTTCCGATCAATCAGTTATATGGCAGCTATAGGATATAGTCGGCCGATCCGGGCCGTTCCGACTTATATACTGCGTGCAAAGGAAAAAAGGGTTTGTGAAAGGTTTCAAGACGATAGCTTTAAAACTAAGAGACTAGTTCGCGTAGAAACAGACAGACAGACGGACATGCTCATATCAACTCAGGAGGTGATCCTGATCAAGAATATATATATTTTATAGGGTCGGAGATGTCTCCTTCACTGCGTTGCACACTTTTGGACAAATTAATAATACCCTCTGCAAGGGTATAAAAAATTGTATACCCTTGCAGAGGGTATTATAATTTTGGTCAAAAGTGAGAAACGAATTGAAGGAGAAGTCTCCGACCCTATAAAGTATATATATATACATATATATATATATATATATATATACCATTTCCGATCAATCAGTTATATGGCAGCTATAGAATATAGTGGTCCGATACTGCGTGAGATGTCGGAGATGTCTCCTTCACTGCGTTGCACACATTTGGAACCTCTTTTGGAACCCTCTGATAGGGTATAAAAATTGAAAAGAAAATGAAACCTTAACACATGTTCTACTGTTTAGTCCACTTGACTACAGAGTAGAGTAAAGAGAGTAGAGCTGAGTTAACTCCTATAGCCTGCTAGCCTACCAAAAATATTTAATATTACGAACGAATTTTAGAACATACATTAAATAAAGAATGTAAAACATATTACATTTGGCCGGACCCGAAGCCTCTATACCCTTGCAGTTAAGATCTGATATAAATCGAACATATCGGAAGTAGGCGGCCGGTCGTTATTTGTAGTCCTTTATAAAATCAATTTCTCTTAACACAAATTTTGAAAAATGCTCCACATTTCTATCTTCAAAACACATAAGATAGGTCATTTACGATAGTTCAATTATATTGCAGCTATAAGATTTAGTCAGCCAATCCTTAAGAATTTTGGCAGGTAATGACATTTCCGATTAATCAGTTATTTGGCAGCTATATAGTCGGCCGGTTTTGTCCGTACCAACTGGTATAATGCGTGGAAAGGAAACAAAGATGTGTTCAATGTTTCAAGTCGATAGCTTTAAAGCTAAGAGACTAGCTTCCGTAGAAAGAGAAAGACAGACGGATATGCTTATACTTAGGACTTAGTTAATGCTGATAAAGAATATATATACTTTATAGGGTGGGAGAAGTCTCCTTCAATTCGTTGCTCACTTTTGACCAAAATTATAATACCCTCTGCAAGGGTATACAATTTTTTATACCCTTGCAGAGGGTATTATTATTTTGGTCAAAAGTGTGCAACGCTGTGAAGGAGACATCTCCGACCCTATAAAGTATATATGTTCTTGATCAGGATCACCTCCTGAAGGAGATGTCTCCTTCACTGCGTTGCACACTTTTGACCAAAATTATAATACCCTCTGTAAGAATATAAAAATACGTCACAATAGCGTAAAAATAATGTTTGAAGTCAAAATTTACAAACAATTATTAAGTATACTTACTTGTACAACACGTTTCTTAAGATTTACTTTTTTAGATATCTCTTCAAGCATTTTCCGGCTTGGGTTTGATTCGGATTGATAACATTCGTATAAGAAATTTAATTGTTCTGGAAGAATGGTAGTCCGAAGGCGTTTGTTTTGTTTTGATGAGACATTGATAGGGGAATCAGAAGACTGTTTTTCCATTTCGTTAGTTTTCGGTGCAACAGATATACTCGTTTCATCCTTTTTACTTTCATCCTCATTTTCCAGAAACGTTAAGGTCTGAGAATGGTTCTCTATCATTGTTGCATCCAAAAATTCTTCAAGATTATTTAAATATTGGGTGTTGCTCTGGATATTGTTATTGCCTTCATTACTCGGTTCTTTCAAGGTAACATTTTCTGTATTTCCAATGAGTACGTTTTTGATTCCATCATTTAGATCTGATGTGGTTAAAAAAATATTATTAGTTTCGTCTTTGTCCTTCATCATATATGTGTTCTTTTTGAACGATTTCTCTGTAAGCTGTTGGTCTTCTACAGATTCTTGCTCCAAAATAAAGTTACTGATAACGGTTAAAGGCTCATCAGTAGTTAATTTAGGTATCTGCATTGATTGTGTACTACCTACGCCCTCCGAAATTGCTCGTGGCGAGGCAACTAAGTGAAAAAACTTTTTTGATTCATTTAATTTATAATATTGAAGTAAAAACTCAATAGAGGGTTTTTGGCTCGAACTAAAAGAATGTTCCTGCTGTTTTGGCTTCATTTTTAAATTTGATTCTTCCTGCTTTCGGTAGTACTCTAGCAAAAAATCATAATTGCTAACTTTCTTTAATTCCATTTTTTGATAGAAGTTAGTAAGAAATTCCAATTGTAAGTCGAGCTCATGTCCTTGTTCTTGTGGCTGAAGATGACTTGGATGTTGCGATTGTGTTAAAAATTGCTGTTTAAGTTCTGAATTTGATTCATGCTGCATAAAATATTTATGAAGAAATTCAAACTTTTTATTCCGGTCTTCACGTTCGTTAATTAAAGAATTATCTTCGGCATTTGATGAGCTATCAGAGTATTTTCGCCTTTTTGTTGGGGGAGATTCAGGTTGTGTTTGATTTTTTGCCGCTGCGTGGTGTAAACTTTGCAGTATACTGCCAAATTGACCAAATTGTGATTCAATGCTCGAACTATGAACTGTAGAGGCGAATAGTGTTGCTGGGTTCATAAGATGCATTAATTGATGCTCTCTTAGTTGCTCTAAGTGGTTAAACTGCGATTCACATTTCTCACATTCATATTTTGCAGACCTGTTTGTGTGGTCTAAACTATTGCTACGCTCCCGTTGAGGGGGTGTGGGAGTTGTAGAAGGGCTAAAATCAGTAAGCGAAGTAGACTTAGCAAACACATTTTGTGGGGAAGGCGATGCACTAAATGACTGCGTTCCAATCGTGGACGTACCGGTGGTAGCGGGTTGCTGGATAGCTGTTGATCCTGACTGAAAAATACCTACGTGGTGAACGTCCAAGGACGAGTTTGAGTCTTCTGAGCTTAAATTTTGAGCAATTTGAGCGGCAGCGATTTGTGCTTTAGCTGACTTTTTATTGTTCTCTTCTTTAAAACAATGGTTCTTCTGATGACGTATTAGCTCATAGTATCGTTGAAATACTAAGCTACACTTTTTGCAAGCATAATTTATATTCTGCTTCTTGGACTCCTCGTTGTCAAACAATGAATTGTTTGGTTGATTTTCATAAATTTTTCGTTGCTTCTGGCGTGCATTTTGAAACCAAACGACTATAACCCGAGGAGACAACAACAAAAGTTTGCTTAAGTATTCAAGGTCACTGTCTTTTGGATATGAATTGTTTTCAAAAAATTCTTGCAAAACTTTTATTTGATAATCTGTGAAACGTGTTCGATTCGCTCTTTTACCACCTGAAGACGACGAAGATGAGCTTGGGCTATTGTCATACTGTTGGCATGAAGTGGAAGGCAAAACGGGCGTCGACATTTTTTCAAATGTTTTTCCCGCAATCTGCAGTTTTTTGGGTGGTCCCATATTGCTGCCCAAGTTATCTAAATGTTGATTCATTAGGTCGTTTACGTTTCCATATATATTGCCTGCAGCTACACTATTAGGAGTAGGCGGGCGTGAAATTACATCGGAACTTCCGCTTTCTGATTTTGTTTCAAATGTCTGCTGTAAACTATGGCTGGTATGTGAATCCATTTCTGAATTTGGTGTAGACTTATCTGAATGATCAATTTGAAGTTGTTGTTTGACCAGGTTTTGTTTTTGCTGTTTATTATTAAACGTGAATTCAACCGAGTTGATCCCGCAATCTTGTTGCTCTGGTTTTATTTGAGTTTCTTCAGGGCATAGCAATTCTTGGACTTTACCTCCCTGTTGTCCTAATATCAAATTATTACTTAAAAAATCGGATATGTTCCCACTTGAGTTTGCCGATCCTGGGCGGGATAATGGTGTTAAATTCTCTGTTAAAAGCACGGGTAATGATGTAGGTATGTTACTAGAATTTTCTGACGAAGCATTTTTTTCATTTGTGTTTGCAGTATTGTGTTCAGTAAATGCTGAAGACATCGTAAGTGTCTTTGTAATTAATGTAGGTGTCCCAATATCGCTAAGGTTCGTAACTTTAGCATGACCAGTACGTTCATATTCCTCCAAATTTAGAGTCGTCGACGGCGGATTATTAAAATTATATGGCGAGTCTTTGTTACGTTGACGTTCTTTAAATAAAGTATTTCTAAACCAGTGTTTGACAACCTGAAATTATATACATTTGTTTTTCATGCTTTTTCTACACAAAATAATTCTCACCTTCATTGGTAGATTGGACTTTTGTGACATTTCCACAATGCTCTCCTCGCTCGGCGAATTGTTTATATCGAAATGTGCTCGTAATATCTTTAACTGATCATCTGTTATACGTGTTCGCGCCCTTTTTTGATTGCTGGCCAGCTGGAATGAAAATAAATAGGGGAAAACAATAAAGGACGGCTATAGTCGAGTTTTCCGACTGTATTATACCTGGTACTTATCTCTTCCACCCACAATTTAAATAACATTTAATGTTTAAGCTTAAAAGGAGTGGTGGACAAGAGAAAACTTGTTCCATCTTGTTCCAATTTCGGAAAAAATGTTACGCAGTAAAATCTCTTTTTTTTTTTTTAAGTTTGGGCTGTCTAGTGAGGCAAAATAAGAGTAAATGAGAATAAACTAAAAAAAAAAAAATTAGGTCCAGAATTTCCGACCCTATGTACATGATATGGTAAATAAGAGTTTGCGCACCACTGCTTTAAATGTATGGATTCTCCGCAACCATTTTTTGTTGCTTACTTTTGCGCTTGGGCAAAACAACAACTTCAGACCCCCTAAGGCCATACTTCCGGGAAGCAGTCTAAAAAGTCTATAACTCCTCTCAAAATTATCCGATTTGGCTGATTTTTAGGTGTAGATTAGCCATTGGAACATTTTGGCATCAAAACACAAAAAAAATAACGAACTGAAGCTACAATGAGATTTCTGTTTTGGGGGCAGGAGTGAGCGTGGATAAATTTTGACAGAAACTTGAACTGTGTAGGTATTGAAGGAGTCTCCATACCAAATGCTATAGCTATATCTCATAAAGTCTCTGAGTTTCATGCGCTCATACGGACGGATGGACAGACAAACATGGCTATATCGACTCGGCTGTTGATGCTGATCAATAATATATATACTTTATGGGGTCCAAGATGATTTTCTCTATATGGGCATTTCCACAGAAAGGTCCACCGCGGCCAAAAAATTAAAAGTTCTTGAAAATGATTTTTTTCAACATGGTTACATAAGGAAATGTTCAAGTTTATTAAACTTGAAAGAATTTTGCATTCATCTTTTACAGATTTCAAAATATTCGAATGCAAAGTCGCGCAAACGCAGCTGTTGTCCGTATTTTGTTTTTATAACAACTTCTAAAATAAATGCATATATATGTTATATATATATGTTATATATATATGTTACATATATATATGTTATATATATATATGTTATATATAACATATATGTTATACACATTCACACGGCTACGATATACCCTTGTATTCTACGAGCACCGGATATAATAAGTGAATAAGGGTTTTACATAATCTTTTATATTTTCCTCGGGCCTGTAGGAGTGGTCGGCACCCACTTCATTCATATAATTTTAATCCATTAGTGTTAGTAACGAATAGCAGAAAGAAGAAAAACAATTCCCCTTCAGAAACAAATTTTCGGCGAAACCGTTCCGATCAGGAATACATCGCAAATATCGAAATATCTATTTATCTTTATGTTAATCTTTTACAAATACATTAAATATTTGATTTTAATAATCATAAAAAAAAATTTTTGACAGCTTTATCCTCAAAAACAGTAAAGTCGAGTCGTTTTCGATTGTTCATATATAGGATAGGATAGGATATTTTGTAGGATATATAGAATCTTTAGGATATATTCGCATATATGATAAAATGTTGTAAAACAACTTAATTAACCCAAAAGTAATATCAACAAAATTGGGCTTCATTTTTTTTTAAATTACCAATTATAACCCACCACGGTGAAATACAGACAAACAGATATCGTATATATATTGATATGTATTAGGAGTCCTATGTATTTTTTACCCAAAGACCAGGTGAATACAGTTTTGGATGGGGGCTTTCTTTGCCCTCAATGTTTCTTTTGCTATGCATAGCTTAAATATATATACTTTTTTAATTCTTTTCTTTGGTATTCCTTATTAAATAAGAAATTTGTAAGCAAACCTGAGAGTTAACTTGTTGAGTTTGAGTTCTCGTCGGCATTGGGTTTATGTTAACTGAGTCTCCAATTAAGGCGTTTGATGGGATGGGATTTTGTAACTCTGTCATTCCCATACTATTTGAGCTGGAAGTCATGTTACTGTTTTGAGCGGATGTAGCATTGTTGCCAGCCGAGATTCCCCCAAACACCAATGGTGGGGCCAAGTTCATAAAATTTAGAGACATCAAATGATGAAATTGCATTAGATTGATCATATCCACTGGGTTAATAGGTAACCCCGAAGCAGTGGTTGCATCACCTAATTGGGATTGCATATGCTGCAAATTTTGTAGGCCCTGAAGTAAAATTTGTTTAAATTAAATTTCCGGTTTTTTAAACATTTAAAACTACCTGCAAGTGTTGGGATAATTCTACCGTTGAAAGAGGCAAAGTTTCAGGATGAAGACCAATAGATTCTGAGTTAATAAACTGTTGCTGCTTAAGCAAAGATGTCAATGTAGCAAAGTGCTGCTGCTGCGACTTGGTTTCCAGAGTACTTGGACTAGATTGTAAAGGCGTCGATTCCTTACTAATTTGTGACTCTGACTGCAGCGGAGAAAGAGAAGGTCCCGCGATATCAGCAGACTTACATTCTGTAAATAAAGAAGTTCCTTATTTTATTTTTATATTTTCTTAATAGAAAGAATAGTTTAATATAACCTTTTTCAATATTAATGGCCTCTCCTGAAGAATGTTTGTCTATTTCGTCTGTGTTAGGTGTCAGGGGACGAGGACTTCTAGCAATGACATCCACGGAGTGAGCTTGTTCCATGTGCTTCTGCAACGCCTGTGTACTACGAAAGCTCCTTTGACAAACTGAACACTTTGTAGCATCTCGCATTGTATGATATAGCATGTGACCAGTAAGCTTTTCCTGAGTTTTGAAAGCTAGCGAACATTGTTTGCAACGATATTTATAAACGTGCCGTTCTGAGATTACTAAGCTTATATGGGAGTCTTGATAATGGCTTATCATAGACGAAAGAATTCTAAACCTCATTTGGCAAGGTCGGCTGATGTGGTTCGCCGCAAGGCAAGAGTACTCTCCATTTTGTAAAGAAAAATGCTGATTCTGTTGAGCATGCTGAAGCAACTGTTCTTCGTGCTTAAAGTTGGCTTCGCAATGCTGACATGAAAGACATTTAATTCCGGTCGGCTTACTAATTATGGTTTCAGAATTGATTTTTATATTTTCTAAAACATTGGTGTTGTCTGAGGTCGTCATTCCGGTAAGGCTCCTAGCACCGGCTGGTACTGTCTCACTTGACTTTGGCCATGCAGTTTGGTCTACTAGGAGTAGAAGCCGAGAAAGACCATCTTTGGTAACGCTGTGAATATTCGTCAAATGGCTTTCTAGGGACGTTTTTTCGCAAAAACGGTTCTCCAAACAAAGCGGACATTGAGCCGCGTATAGCGTATTCGGTTGAGGTGATAAATTTTCAGCTGCGGATGGTATCGTTTGTGCGGTAAAATTATCTAAAGTCTTATTATTCTCGATGTTAGATATTTTATCATCATCCTCTTCAAATCGCTCAGGACATTTATTCCTATTAATTTCCTGGTCCGACACTAAAGGACCTTGGTTAATTGAGTTGCATTGTTGCTGAACAACTGCTATAGCAGCTGCGGCTACAGCAGTTTGGAAAGCTTGAAGTGCAGCTGTGTTTGTTGGTATACTTATAAAATCATCATTGTCTGCACTGGGGTGCAAAGTTTCAATGTGTGCTGCCATGTCTGTTTTTGATTGTACGAAATATTCGCATATATTACATTTGAATACTGTGGTAGGAACGCTCACAGATGAATCTATTCCATAAATGTTAGCATTTTGAGACTTTCCTTTATCATCTGATATAGAAGGTGATGGCGGACCGAAGAAGCTTCCATCTGCAGTGGTGGTTGGCGTTGTTGCAGATCCTGATGCCACGGGACTGACCGCTACTATTGATTCGTTAGTTGCGGTTCTAGCCAAGTCTAATCCAGCTTCAAAATTATTATCTAGAACCATACAAAAATAAATTTATTAATTATAATAACATGAACAAATATTTTATATGAGACCTTTACCTCTGTATATTTACGTTTAAAATTTTTTTTAATAGGTATCTTCATGTAGAGCACCACTTTTCGGTCGAAAAAATGGATAACTTTTTTTTATCAATAAGCATAATAATAAATATCAATAAATATATTTATATACATATATTTTTTACCCTTGCAATGGGTATTATAATTTTGGTCAAATGTGTTAAACGTAGTTAAGGAGCTTTATAGTTATAAAGAGACATCATAGAAAACATAAAGTTATAGTATTTCCAAATAGGATATAGTGGCATATAGGATATAGTCGGTCGATCTCATCCGTTCCGGCTTACGAGGTGTGGACGAGGTGGAGAAGGAGGCGATCCTGATCAAGAATATATATACTTCATAGGGACGGAGTTGTCTCCTTTACTGCGTTGTACACTTTTGAACAAATTTATTATACCTTCCGCAAGGGTATAAAAAAAATATATATCTACATAAATATATTTGTTGAGGCACCAAATTTTGATTATCGATAAAAAAACAACATCGGTTTTTTCGAACCAAAATTTCTTTTGGTTTTACTTTAAGATGCTATTAAAAAAACTTTGAAACGTATATATAAAACAAGAAAGCAAAGCTAATTTCGGGCGAAGCCGAAGTTGATATAACCTAGCAGTTAAAACCGGAATATAGAATAGAATCTGTACCAAGTTCCAGCTTTCTATCTTCAAAAACACGAAAGTTGGGTCATTTCCGATCGTTCAGTTATATGGCAGCTATAGGATATAGTGGGCCGATCCTTATGAAATTTGGCATGTCGTAATGTTTTGCCAAAAATAGCACTCGTGTCAAATTTGAACTCTCTAACTCTAAAAACACCAAAGTTATACCATTTCCGATCAATCAGTTATATGGCAGCTATAGGATATAGTTGGCCGATCCCGGTCGTTCCGACTTATATACTGCGTGCAAAGGAAAGAAGGGTGTGTGCAAAGTTTCAAGTCGATAGCTTTAAAACTGAGAGACTAGTTCGTAGAAACGGACAGACAGACAGACGGACAGACAGACGGACATGCTCATATCAACTCATGAGGTGATCCTGATCAAGAATATATATACTTTATAGGGTCGGAGATGTCTCCTTTACTGCGTTGCACACTTTTGGACAAAATTATAATACCCTCTGCAAGGGTATAAAAATACATTTTATTATAGCAATCATAAATAGGCCCTATATTTTTCACAACAGTTTATTATTATACTATGCCAATAAATGCCTAACTTTTTACTTTAAAAATGTTCTGCAAAGAAGAAATTCATCGCTTCAAGTCGACCATTTTGGCTGAAAGAAAAGCAAGAATGAATTTCTTGCAGGGATAAGTTTTCGGCAATCCAACAACAAAATGCGTTCGGATTAGCACGATTGAGGAGAATAGGGAAAACACGAAAAAATTTTTTTGTATTTGGGCTTTGCCTATGCTGGGAGGAACACACGTATATGAAATTTCGTTTCTCATATGAAAGAGCAATTCCAACAACAAAGGAGCACCGAGAGCAATGGGACTGGACACCCGTGGTGTAGAGTCTACACTGTAGACTAGCCATTGAAACAGTTTGGCATAAATACATTTTCCAGAAATATTAACAAACTGGCACAAACACCAGAATTTTATTTTGGGGAAAACTTCAACGATAAAAACTCCATACGATCCCAAATGCCAAGGCTTTTATAATCTGTGAGATCTTGGCATTTAAAATTGGCCGATTTGGATGCAATGTGTTTTTTCAGATATACATATATTAATCATAGAAATATTATGGCATCCAAAGTTTTTCAAAAAACCTTCCTAAACTGGCGCTACAGAAATTGCAATTTATGCCATTTTTGTAGGCGGGAGGGGGCGCGGCAAAATTTTGACACAAACTTGAACTGCGTGGGTATTGTAGAAGGCTCTATGGCCAAATCCTATCCAGTCTCTGAGATCCACGCGTTCTTACGGCCGGGCGGAAAGACAGACATGGCTTTATCGACTCGTCTGTTGATGCTAATCAAGAATATATATACATATGTTATGTTAATTTACTTCTCCATGTTACATACATTCACACGACTACAATATACCCTGTACTCTACAAGTACCGGGTAAAAAACAAGAAAGAAAAGGTAACTTCGGGCAGAGCCCAAGTTGATATAGTTATGATCGGATATACTTCGTTATCAGAATTCTATTTAAAAAGGAAGGATTTGTGTAAAGTTTCAAGTCGATAGCTTTAAAACTAAGAGACGAGTTCGCGTAGAAGCGGACGAACAGGTAAACTGACATGCTTATATAAAATCCGGAGGTGGTCCTAATCTCCAATATAAATAAGCGGAAACCAAAATACTCTTTTTATGAATGCTATTTTTGGGAAAATAATACGACCTACCAAATAAGGATCGGCCAACTATAGCTGCCATATATGTAAATGAAATGACCCAACTTTCGTGTTTTTGAAAATAGAAAGTTGGAACTTCGTACAGATTCTATTTTTGGTATATTTGGAGATAGAAGCTTGGGACTTTTTTTTAGATTTTGTATTTTAATAAATTGGTTTTATTATGATATTCTCATAAGAATCGGCCAACTATATCCGATGTTTGCGATATATATCCTATTTCAACTGCAAGAGTATATCAACTTCGGCTCCGCCCGAAGTTAGCATTACTTTCTTTTTATGTTCTCATTGTGTACCTTTGCAAGCATTTTATGTTTCACGCTTTTATAACTCAAAGTCAGATCAAAATTTTAATAAGCTCTGCAACGTTATAAAAAATAGCCTTGCTAAAAATTTTGGTTTGCTTTTATTATTTTTCTTTTGTATCGAATCAAATCATTATCAAATGAATTAAATTTTAAGATTAACGATCTATGTATACACAAACAAAGCTGATATATTATACAAAAACAAAAAATAATAATAAAACGAAAAAGAATAGTTCTAACCCTTAATTAAGTACATTTATGTAACAAAAAAAAGCAATATAGGTATATAACACTAAACCTTATAATAAAACTCACCAAGCAACAACTTTTGATCCTTTATAAGGACATAGGACAATATTGGCAAAACTCACCAAGCAACAACTTTTGATCCTTTATAAGGACATAGGACAATATTGGCAATATCCTTAAAGGATCAAAAGTTGTTGCTTGGAGAGTTTTATTTTGAGCAAAAAAAATAAAAATCACGAATAATCATTATTTTTGAGTTTTATTTTTTTTGCTCAAGCTTAATGATTATTTGTGATTTTTATTTTTTTTCTCAAAAATAATTATTAGTCTTGATTTAAAAAATTAAAAATCGATAAGTAATCATTACAAAGTAATTTTTAAAATATTACCCTGATATGTACATTATATTTAAAAAATATTTTCAGCAATTTAAATTGTATAGGTTAGCAATTTTAAAATACATATATATACAACTAGCAAATATAAAAACAAAATTAATTTACCTAGACATAGTTTTAGCATCTTCTTAAATGCTCATGCATAACGACTTTAAAGATTCCTTTGATAGGTCAATGAAAAGAATGCTAAAGGAAATTTGAGCGGGCAAGACGAAGAATATGTTTATGTTCTCATTGTCTGCCTTTGCAAGCATTTTATGTTTTGCATATAAGCCCGAAACACCCTGAATTTGTGCGGAGAAGCATACGCAATTATCAACTTCTAAAGACGAGTGGGCGAGGGTATGAGTGGGGGTGAGAGTTGTTGGTGGAATGGTATAAAGGATGGGGTGATAAGGGTGTGCAGCAATCCGGTCTGCCTTCAGATTGATGTGGCGTTGGAATGAGCAAGTTTGTTGGTGCGGTGCTGTATGAAACAACGGCGGTGTACCAACTGTTTGTTGTGTCTCTGCGCGTTTCTTGCTTGCTCGATGCTTTGTGGTTAGGTGCTATACCTGCGGTGCAGTCCGGCATGGTGCTGAGTATCTGATAGGGGAATCTTACTGGAGTGTATGTGTTTCTTTCTCTGAATGTAGGCATCGAACCCAAGAAAAGAAAGACTACCCTGAATCTGCCCACGATTCATCGTCTGAACTGGAGGCTAAGGTTAAAGCTGGCTTGAAGTAAAGTGTGCACGTCACTAATTGCAAATTCGATGGATACACATAATCGTTTTTGCATTCTTAAGTAATTTGTAATAATTTCCTTGAGGGTCAGCGTCAGCGTATAAATCGCACAACGCATATAAGTTGCTACAAAAAAAAAGAGGGAAAAGGAAAAGAAGAATTTACTTGAGGATGGGTAAGGGGAAGACTCAGGGGCAAAGACGATTATTATCGAAGAGTGAAGCAAAGAAATTGAACCGAAATCAGTGCTTAATGATGAGTTACGAAAGAACGAGCTGTGTTATACAATGTGTTGTAGTTATATTGTGCGTGTGTATCATGGTTTTTGAAGATCATTTGCAGGATATTTCTGTATGAATGTGTGAATATTGGTATACATATTTTTTAATTTATATTCTACCTTACATATGAAATGAATCGAAATAAAAGCATCATAATACATTTTTACTTTTTAAAATGTATGAAAAAAAAATCACAAACTTTTCAATATACGCTATGCGTAAATTAAAAAATTTTTTTTTTATGTTTGACTTTTATTGTTAACATATCACAAAAAAAGCTTCCCGGTCCAAAGAACCGAAAAAATTAACTCCACACATAATTAAACGCATTCTATAACCACTATGCTGTCCTGCAGAGGATATTATAATTTTGGTCAAAAGTGTGCAACGCAGTTAAAGAGACAACTCCGACCCTTTCAACGCGTGGGTCCCGAAGAGTATCAAGTTTGTGTGTTAGTGCCAACACAAAACCAGTGTTAGTGCCAGTTCGTTAATGTTTTGATAGAAAACTGTTCCAATGGCCAAACTACACCTACAAATCAAAAAGCAGCCAAATCGGATAACTTTTGGAGGAGTTATACATAGACTTTTTAGTCCGCTTCTCTCCTGAACCGGTAGTATGGCAAAAGTAATGAAACAAAAATTGCAAACAGCAAAAGTATGCAACAAAAATTTGTATCAGGTATAATATAGTCGGGAAACTGGTTTTATGACTTATTTTCAGTCATTTATATCTCGAACTCCCCTTGAATCCCTGCCAAACCTTGGCTCTGTAAAGCTTTGCCAATATTTTAGGAAGCCATAACATAAAAAATCAAGAAAGGAAAGTTTGATTCGGGTGGAGCCGAAGTTGATATACCCTTGCAGTTTAAACGAAAGTTTGAATTTTTACCAAATATCATGTACCATTTCGGATCGTTCAGTAATATAGTAGCTATAAGACCTACAAAATTATCTAGCAAAATATATACAAAATATACAAAATACATTATATAAAAGTATGTAGCATTTCCGTTTAATCAGTTATATGGCATATAATCAGTTATATGCATGCAAAAAAAAGAAGGGTGTGTGCTAAGATTCAAGTCGATAGCTTTAAAGATAAGAGACTAGTTCGCGTAGAAACAGACAGACAGACGGACAGACGGACAGACGGACATGCTCATATCAACTCAGGAGGTGATCCTGATCAAGAATATATATACTTTATAGGGTCGGAGATGTCTCCTTCACTGCGTTGCACACTTTTGACCAAAATTATAATACCCTCTGCAAGGGTATAAAAACACCAAAGTTATACCATTTCCGATCAATCAGTTATATGGCAGCTATAGGATATAGTCGGCCGATCCCGGCCGTTCCGACTTATATACTGCGTGCAAAGGAAAGAAGGGTGTGTGCAAAGATTCAAGTCGATAGCTTTAAAGATAAGAGACTAGTTCGCGTAGAAACAGACAGACAGACGGACAGACGGACAGACGGACATGCTCATATCAACTCAGGAGGTGATCCTGATCAAGAATATATATACTTTATAGGGTCGGAGATGTCTCCTTCACTGCGTTGCACACTTTTGACCAAAATTATAATACCCTCTGCAAAGGTATAAAAACACCAAAGTTATACCATTTCCGATCAATCAGTTATATGGCAGCTATAGGATATAGTCGGCCGATCCCGGCCGTTCCGACTTATATACTGCGTGCAAAGGAAAGAAGGGTGTGTGCAAAGTTTTAAGACGATAGCTTTAAAACTGAGAGACTAGTTCGCGTAGAAACGGACACACAGACGGACAGACGGACATGCTCATATCAACTCAGGAGGTGATCCTGATCAAGAATATATATACTTTATAGGGTCGGAGATGTCTCCTTCACTGCGTTGCACACTTTTGACCAAAATTTTAGTACCCTTTGCAAGGGTATAATGAAATTAATAATAACAATTTTTTCGAACTAGCGCTACAACACAGTTAAGATGGGGGGCGAGAGAAGGAGTACCTTAAGAGCCTAAGGTAAAAATGGGATATTTCTATCTTTTTTAGTCTGTATGGATACGGATATATCGACACGGCTGTTGATGTTGATCAAGAATATATAAACTCAGAGGGCTGAACATTTCGGTCAGAAGTGCCCAGGGCTGTGAAGGAGACACCTCCTACTTTATAAAGTATATATTATTATTATTATTATATTATATAATTTCATAAGGATAAGCCGACTGAATCATATAGCTTTAAGAACACTGAAATAAGTGTTTTTGAAGATAAGCATCTGGGTATATATTTTCGATTTATATATATCAATATTTTCCATTTATGTATATCGATATTTTTCATTTAAGTATAGGTGCGATCTTAACTTTAAAAATTAACTCTTTAAAAATTTTTAAAACTGCAGCGCAACAATAAGTTTATCTTTTGTTAAGTTTATCTTAACTATTAAGTTTATTTAAAGATTTTTGTATCCTACCTTCAGTATTACGAGTCCATTCGGTCACTTTGAATACTTCGCTTAATCCAGGTATCTCTTGGTTTTCACTACGTCGTTGAAAGCACATGAACTGTTCTACTTGCATATGCCTTATCCCCTTAACATGCTGTATCATCGCATGGAGATTCTTAGCTGAAAAATTGCAGAGCTGACAGAGAAGAAGTTTCTCAGTTTCTTGCAGAGGCGGATGATCTTCATTCGGACTGGGACATTGTCGAACATCTGCTCCAGGCTCAAAAGAATCTTTAAGCATTTGACTCTGTTGGGCTACATAAAGAAGATGCTGGAATATCATTCGCATCGTTTCATGGCGCATCTGTTGGGTATGAAGAGATAGTTTCTGAATGGAATTTGTGTGGAAATCACAGCAGTTGCATTTAATTTGGACCACATTTGCTACATGTTGCTGATACTGAAGTTTTATTTCATTCCTAGGTCCGCCTTCCCTTATATGGTTAATAAAGTTAAGCTTTTGCAAATGCTTATCTGTCTTACTGTGAAGTTGGAAATTGGCCTTGAGATTTGTTTTATAATTACACAGACGACAGATATAGTTGTTGTTGTGGATAACCATTATATCAGAAGATGCGCTAGAAGAATGACGAGTTCTATCTACCAACAAATGCTGATTTAGATCTTCCAAGTTATTGGTACTGAAACATTCGCATATTAAACAACTATAGTATGCGGAAGGCCACATCTCAGGTTTTGTCAACGAATTAAAATCACTCGTCGAATCAATGGCTACTTCATTTGCGTGGTTGGTCCCAATTGGTATTCCAAGGCCCATATTCATTGCAGTACCAAAACCCAAGCCCATTTTTATTAACTTCGGTGAAAAAGAAAATGGTTCTGGTGTACTAACTGGAGAGGATCCAGGGGATGGTTTTGGGTTGGAAGTCTGCTGGTTCTGTTGTTGATGTAAAAGCTGAATCATTAGTGCTTGATTATATGCCAAATCAGCTAATGCAACCTCAGGCAAGAAGCTATTTCCCGAATTCGAGCCTGAAGTATTACCACTGGTATTTTGTTGTTGCAAAAAGTTCAATGCTTGAATATGTTTAATGTTATTTTGAAGAACTGCCATGTTGTGCGTATGTTTTTCACTAGTCATATGTATGCGCAAATTACGGGCAACAGATGTTTCATAGCTGCAAATATCGCAACGAAATGATGGTTTTGGCTTGGAATTGACACTGCTTCCTACATTAACACCAGGATTTATTAATCCTGGTCCAGCTACATTGGGATTAATGGAAACGGTGCTTCCTATGTTGCTGCTAGCTCCACTCGAAATTGAGCCACAATGTGTGCTAGCGCTACCCGACCCGCTGGTACTAGAAGTAACAGTACCAGTTGATTGAGACGTTGTGCTAGTTAGCATAAATTTTCCTGTCGCAGATGCCGCAGCGGCAGCAGCCACCATATTTTGCGAACTGTTAAGTTCCTGCATATTGTTTAAATGCTTGTCCGACTGCATATGTATAGATAAATTTCCTTTGGTGGTCGTCGAGTAGTTGCAAATTTCACATCGGTACGGCTTATAGCCACAAGAATACGACTCCCCACGTGCAAGTCGGGGATGCTGCTGTCCTAAAATAAAAATAATGCAAAAAAAATTGACAATAATATAAGAAAAGATTAAATGAAAACAAAAACTTCATACGGTTTTTGAGAACATTTGGATTAACTTCCTAAAAGCTTAAAAGCTTAATTTTTTAAAATTTTCACAACAGGCCTCAGAATGCTAATGATATTTTCCTAGAGAGGTAAAAATTCAAAGATGTGGATTTCCCGAGAATTTTATTTTTTTAGAACTGTAGACAATTACACTAGAATCGAAACAAAAATTGTATATTAAGCTATCGCTAATTGGTGTTACTATTATAACAAAACAGCTAATAACAAAAAATTTATAGTTTTTCAACCAAGAAAGGAAAGCTAACTTCGGGCAGAGCCGAAGTTGATATACCCTTGCAGTTAAAACCGGTTTTATATCACAAAGTCGGATATAGTTGGCCGACCATTATGAGAATATCGTAAAATAACCAATTAATTACAATAAAAAAAATTAAAGAAGTCCCAATCTTCTACTTCAAAAAAACTTCTATCTTCAAAAGTTGGTATTTTTACAAAAGGTTCAGAACAAAATGAATACCCTCTGGTATAATTAAAATATCTGCAAGGGCAGACAAAATCTTGCAAGGGCCGATCCTTATGAGAATATCATAATAAAACAACTAATTTGTATATAAAAAAAAAGTTCCAAGCTTCTATCTTCAAAAATACCAAAGTTGGTATTTCTACCAAAAACCATTTCCGATCGTTCAGTTATATGGCAGCTATAAGATATAGTCGGCCGATCGTTATGAAATTCGGCACGTCGTAATACTTTGCCAAAAATAGCTCGCATGTATTGAACTCTTTAACTCTAAAAACACCAAAGTTATACCATTTCCGATCAATCAGTTATATGGCAGCTATAGGATATAGACGTTCCGGATTATATACTGCGTGCAAAGGAATTAAGGTGTGTGCAAAGTTTTAAGTCAATAGCTTTAAAACTGAGAGACTAGTTCGCGTAGAAACAGACAGACAGACGTACAGACAGACATGCTCATATCAACTCAGGAGGTGATCCTGATCCAGAATTTATATACTTTATAGGGTCGGAGATGTCTCCTTTACTGCGTTGCACAGTTTTGGACAAAATTATAATACCCTCTGCAAGGGTATAAAAAATTAAAATATTCAAAAACAAAATTTTGATATATGTAATTATCATTAGAATCATTAGAACTAGAATCCGACCCAAAAATTTTGGATCAAAACGGTTAAATTACTCGTTGAACACTAATGGGACTCAGATTCGGAGGTGCAAATACCATTCTGACATATTTGAAAGTTCTCATACTTTGATTATACTTTTACACACCAACGGAATTTAAAATAATTAAATTAAAATATTTACCTGCTAGACAATATCCGCAAGCGCTCTCCCCGTCGGGATGTTTTTCTCTCATATGAATCTCTAGTGTCTCCTGATATTTGTAGTGCCAATTACACTGAGGGCATTTAAGAGTCTTGCATGAATTACGCGTAGACATTTGAACGCTGCTATTTAAGCGAGCTGAATTAAGGAGCATTTCGCAGCTGTAATAAAAAATATATTGCAATATTTAGCGGTATTAAATATTTGTTTCCTGTAAAAAACGGTACAAAAATAAAGTAGTGCTAAATTGATATCATTGACTTTGCAATATAGTTATCTCATCATTATTTTAGTACCGGCATACAAATAAGTGCCAGAAATACTAATGATCCTAATCTAATAGGGGAATCTGTTCTCTGAATAAAAGACCCAACCGTCATCATCAAATTGTGACAATTGAGGACGGTCAGCTGAGAGTAAAATTTATTAAAAGAAATCAGCACAATTGATTTAATTTTTGTTAGTTAAGCCACTTTTTTTCCTGTCCCGAACAGAAATTCCGAATCAGTCTATAAAATGTAAAACCTCACTGATTTCCTAGATTAATGAAAAACTAGAAAGGAAAGCTAACTTTGGGCGGAGCCGAAGTTTATATACCCTTGCAGGTAAAACCGGATATATATCGCAAAAATCGGACGTAATGGGCCGATCATTATAAGAATATCATAATGTAACCAATTTATTACAATAAAAAATCTTAAAAAAAAGACTCAAACTTCTATTTGTAATATACAAAAGTTGGTATTTTTACCAGGTTTGGTAGGTCGGATCAACTGACCAAAAATAGAATCTGTACGAAATTCCAACTTTTTATAACACGAAAGTTACGTCAATTCCGATCGTTCAGTTATATGGCAGCTATAGGATATAGTTGGCCGATCCTTATGAAATTTGCTGGGTCGTATATGTTAAAAATAGCATTCGTACGAAATACGAACTCTTTAACTCTAAAAACACCGGAGTTATAGAATGGGAGGGGCTATGGGAGGGGCCCCATAGCCTAGTGGGTAGTGTAGCTGCACGCTAAGCGTGGGGTCGTGGGTTCGAACCCCACTCATGTCAATCATGACCTCCAAAGTTTTTCGCCATCATTATGCTTAGTGGACTCTTTTCCGATGCTACTAAACATGTGATGTCGAAAAACGGTACTCCCACAGATCGACAGGTGGCAGCCCCACCTCTGGGATTGGTCGCACCTGGCTAATCACCGGATCGACTGAAAAACAATTGATTAACGAAACCAATACAAGAGAAGTAACCAACCTCCCCCCCAATCCGTGGACGGACCGGACCATTCGCACATCGAAACGGACACAAATTGGACAATGGAACGTGAAGACTTTAATGGAATCAACCAGACTGGCGCAGTTTGAAGGAGAAATGAAGAAAATGCAGTGATTGGGTCGCCCAAAAAGATGACCTGGCGCCGTACAGCACTCCTAGAAGCAGCCCGGGAAATACATCAGCTGGGACACGATAAAAACAGACAGCGCCAAATAAAGTTAGGTGGAGAACCCTTGTAGAGGCCTTAAGCTCCCAAGAAAAGTAATAAGGGGGGGGGAAAAAAAAACAAGAAAGGAAACAAATATAATTAAATATTTATATTTTTTGATAATAATTTCTCGTAAATGAATTAAAAAAAAAGGTTTTTTTTCGGAAAAAAATGTTTTTTTTCTTTTAAGTTTGAAGTGGTTACCGATAACACAGTGCGACAAAAAACAAGAAAGGAAAGCTAACTTCGGGCAGAGCCGAAGTTGATATACCCTTGCAGTTAAAACCGGATATATATCGCAAACATCGAATATAGTTGGCCGATCCTTATGAGAATATGATAATATAACCCAATTTATTATAATACAAAAACCGAACCTAATAATGTCCCAAACTTCTATCTTCAAAAACACAAAAGTTGGGTCATTTCCGATCGTTCAGTTATATGGCAGCTATAGGATATAGTCGGCCGATCCTAATGAAATTTGGTAGGTTGGATCAACTGGCCAAAATATATACTGCGTGCAAAGGAAAGAAGGGTGTGTGCAAAGTTTCAAGACGATAGCTTCAAAACTGAGAGACTAGTTCGCGTAGATACGGACAGACAGACAGACAGAAGGACAGACGGACATGCTCATATCAACTCAGGAGGCGATCTTGATCAAGAATATATATACTTTATAGGGTCGGAGATGTCTCCTTCACTGCGTTGCACACTTTTTGACAAAATTATAATACCCTCTGCAAGGGTATAAAAATAGAATTTCCGATCAATCAGTTATATGGCAGCTATAGGATATAATCGGTCCGGGCCGTTCCGACTTACATTCTGCGTGCAAAGGAAAGTAGGGTGTGTGCAAGGTTTTAAGACGATAGCTTTAAAACTGAGAGACTAGTTTGCGTAGAAACATACAGACAGACAGACGGACAGACGGACATGCTCATATCAACTCAGGAGGTGATCCTGATCAAGAATATATATACTTTATAGGGTCTGAGATGTCTCCTTCACTGCGTTGCACACTTTTGACCAAAATTAGAATACCCTCTGCAAGGGTATAATAAAACAACAAGAAAGTAAAGCCAACTTCTCATAAGCTTACTCGCGTATAAACAGACAGACGGACATGGTTATATCAACTCAGGAGGTTATCCTGATCAATAATATACATACTTTATAGGGTCGGGGACCCTATATGTCTCCTTCACTGCGTTGCGCACTTTTGACCAAAATTATAATACCCCCGCAAGAGTATAAAAAATTTCAAGCTTCCAAAGTTGGTGTTTTACCAAATACCATTCCCGATCGTTCAGTTATATGTTTGCTTAAGATATAGTCAGCCGAGCGTTATAAAATTTGGTAGGTCGGATTAACTGACCAAAAATATAATCTGTACAAAGTTCCAGCTTTCTATCTTCAAAAACACGAAAGTTGGGTCATTTCCGATCGTTCAGTTATATGGCAGCTATAGGATATAGTCGGCTGATCCTTATTAAATTTTTCATGTCGTAATGTTTTGCCAAAAATAGCTCTCATGTCAAATTTGAACTCTCTTACTTTTAAAACTGCGTGCTTATGCTGCGACTTATATACTGCATGCAAAGGAAAAAAGGGTGTGTGCAAAGTTTCAAGTCGATAGCTTTAATACTGAGAGACTAGTTTGCGTAGAAACAGACAGACGGACATGCTCATATCAACTCAGGAGGAGATCCTGATCAAGAATATATATACTTTATAGGGTCGTAGATGTCTCCTTCACTGCGTTGCACACTTTTGGACAAAATTATAATACCCTCAGGTATAAAAAGGTTTAGAAATAAGAAAAAAATAATTTGTTATTTTTGATTGTTTAATGGTAGCTTACGACCCAATAAAACTTTGGTTTTAAATGTGAACTCAATCCGATAAATAAATTAAATAGAATAAATTTTCGAAGCTATACATTAATTTGTATACTCATGTCAGAGTGACGTAATACATATTAGCCGGATAACTTTGCAATGCGTTTTTCTAAAATCAGTGTTCCTAAAGTAGGTGATGTCAATTTCTCGCAAATTGATTAACTGATTGTTCCGAAATCATTTTTATATGTTTTCATTCCCCTAGTCATATATCCAATTTTCTTGAAAGCGAACACAGGAGTTCATTTTCAAAAACTTATTCATATTCATATTCATATTCGATCAAATTCATATTTCATATTCACTTGAAACTGCTTTTGTCCCGCTTTTAATTTTTGCGTTTTTTATACCCTTGCAGATGGTATTATAACCTATGTTGTAATTATTTTAGTGTTGGCTTTCGATGGATAGGACTGTCGTGTTTTTGGAGATGGAAGGTTTAAACTTTCTACAGATTATATTTTTTGCCAATTGATCCGACCTAACAAATTTAATTAAGATCGGCTGTCTATATCCTATAGCTTCCATATAATTATACGATCGGAACTGGTATTTGGTAAAAATACCAACTTTGGTATTTTTTTTGGATAGATGCTTGGGTTTTTTATACGCGGTACTCTTAGAGTATGTATGTAACATAAGGAAGGAATCATCTCCGACCCCATAAAGTACATAAATTCTTGCCCAGAACAAACAGCAGATCCGTCCGTGGATCTCAGAAACTGTAAGAGATACCGCTCTGCTCCACAATACCCTCTTGCATATCAATATCCATATTGTTATGATTATTAACAGGATGATTAGGTTTTTTAAAGAATGTAGGGTCTGGAGTAATTGATGAGATCCGTTATTGGATTAAGGATTGGTCATTAAGACTCCTACAGTAACTAGCAGCTCAAGTTTGTGTAAAATTTTTCCAGGCCCACTCCCGCCTCAAAACAGAAATCATTGTAGCGCCAGTTTGTTAAAGTTTTTATACCCTTGCAGAGGGTATTATAATTTTGGTCAAAAGTGTGCAACGCAGTGAGGAGACATCTCCGACCCTATAAAGTATATATATTCTTGATCAGGATCACCTCATGAGTTGATATGAGCATATCCGATTGTCCGTCGGTCTGTCTGTTTCTACGCAAACTAGTCTCTCAGTTTTAAGGCTATGGACTTGAAACTTTGCAAAACCTCTTTTCCTTTGCACGCAGTATTTGTTTGTGTTAGGAAAATCTTATAAGGATTGGCCAACGATAATCGATATATATCCGATCTTAACTGCAGGGGTATATCAACTACGGCTCCGCCCTAAGTTAGTTTTTCTTTCTTGTTTCTTTTTTATCGCGTACCATATCGCGTTATTTTCTAAAATTGTTGTAGCCCGGGCAGAGGGTATTTTAATTTTTGTCAAAAATCCGTCTGTTTCAACGCAAACTAGTCTCTCATTTTTAAAACTATCGCTTTGAATTTTTCACACACCCTTTTCACCTTTTCACGCAGTATATTTTGCCCGCCGAGATCGGCGGACTATATCCTGTAACTGCCATACAACTGATTGATCGGAAAGGCTATTCCTTTGGTGTTTTTATACCCTGTACTCGTAAAGTATAAGGGTATATTGTATTCGTGTGCATGTGTGCTGCGATCTGTAAGGCAGGAGTGTACACGAAGAGAGTAAAACAAAAATAAAAAGGGTATTGGTAAGAGATGCGCAGTTCTGCACTGAGCCGACACAGGCCGACAATTTCCACTTATCCATAACCTTTAGACTTCCGTAAGCCAAAGTTCAAAACTAACATCACCCACAGTTTTCGCGGTACACCTAGGGTGACCAGATAGCTGAAATGAAAAATACGGACGAAAAGTGTCCGTGAAAAAAAAAAAGTGAAAAAACGCGTTCGCAATTCGCGTTTGCGTTCAGAACATGATTCAAGACAACTGTTAGCAGAAAGAAAATCACAGACTTTTTCATTGCAACTTTTTTTGAAAAAATCATCTCTTGCTTCCTTTTGCTGCTTTTCTTTTTCATTCAAAAATTTTTTCAAATGAACATACTGGTCGAACAATTTTGAATCATCAATTTGAATATTTTTGAATGCGAGAAATGTAACAGATTTTTCAACAGATTCCTACCTTTCAAATCTTTTCCTGGCTTGAAATTTAACCATTCGAAGTCTTTCAAGCGCGGGCTTTCGAATGTTTAAGTCTAGAAACTCATTTCGGAAAAATTGCAGGTGCAACCTGTTTTTTCGTCAAAAACTTGAAAAATACGGACATTTTACAAAAAATACGGACTAACGGACATAGAGCTGAACATACGGACATGTCCGTACTAATACGGACGCCTGGTCACCCTAGGTACACCTAAGAGAAGAAATTAATCAAATTTTGTCATATAATGAATTACGAAGGCCATGTAATGAACCATAGATCAATGAACTAAGCTTGGTATTTTTTTTTTAAGGTAATAAATTATTTATAATTTATGTTATATGTATACCAGTGGGTGGCAAACTCTTTTTCCTTAGCACGCGTGCATAGGGTCGGAAATTCTGCCGCAGCGCTTAGAGATACTGACAGTGTGAGCTCTCTAAAATTTTTTTTGGAATCTCGCTCATTTGCTCCCATTTTGCCTCATTTAACAGGCCAATCTTAAAAAAACTTTTTTCACTGAGAAAAATTTTCTCAAAAATAGGGCTGGAACAAGTTTTCTCCATAGAAAATATAGATAGGGAAGCGTAGTCTTTCCTTTGTTTAAGAACTGTTGCTAGCAAAGCTTTTTTAAAATAAAATAAACTATTTTAGCGCCCATTTAAAAATGAAACCTTTTTTTCGTTCAGTAAATGCTCATTGTTTTTTACTGCGACGCATTTACTCAAATTTTAAACATGTGTGCGTTTTGCCGCCCACTGTTATATTTCAACTTTGGCTCCGCCTGTCGCTTGCTTTCTTTTCCTTTCATAAAATATATTTTGTAATAGATTTTTTAAACACATCCGTAGCTTTAAAATTTGCTTCATTACTTTAGTAAAAAAAGCGAAAAAATTTCCGTTAGATATTTGGTTAAGGAAAAAATTTGGGTCCACTTGATGCTAGCACTCCTTTCTAAATTATTAATGCAAACTAGATCCAGCGGTTCTTCAGAGTTGGATGAGTTCTTATATTATTTGAGTTTTATGCAATCAATAAGGTGAATATCAAAAATGTTTCGATTCAAATCCCAAAGTTCATTTATGTGTAAATCAGTGGGGGGCAAACTCTCATAGCTATAGAAAACCATAGCATCCATAGGGTAGGAAATTTAACCGCAGCGCTGCCGGCACAATGACAGTGTGAGCACTTTCAAATTTTTTTAGAAGCTCTCTCATTTGCTCTCATTTTGACTCATTTCATGTTTCTACTGAAAAAAATTTTCTCAGAAATCGGGTTGGAAAAAGTTTTTCCCATAGAAAATATAGATGGGGAATCGTAGTTTTATATTTGTCAAAGAACTTTTGCTAGCACAGCTTTAAAATAAAATACACTATTTTAGTACTGATTCCAACTTTTGAATTAACGAAAAATTAAATAAAAAACTACGTTTTTCGCTCAGTGAATGCTCTGCTCTTATTGTTTTTGTCTGCTACGCATAGTTACACTCAAATTTTAAACATGTGTGCGTTTTGCTCCCCACTGGTATAAATGAACAAGCCTAAGTTGGAAAATCCAAGGGCATGTTTCACAGCTATGACAATTACTGCTTATTGGCCTAATGACGTATTGTTGAACAGCAATGCAATACCAGTCAGAAGTTCAAACAGTGACTATAATTACGCATATTAAAGTATTGAGGAAAGAGAATATTTTCAACCCCTTCTGTCAGTCAACTTTCTGCCTTCACAGTCATATGTGACCAACCCTTTATTAATGAAGCGCTAAGGGCTATGATGCTGCCTGACCATAACAAAATGGTCCCCCCATTTCCCCAGAAAAAACGTATCGAAAATATCTTACCGAGCGCAGTCTACTCCTTGGGGCCGACCATTTATGTGTTCGGAGCAAGCACCGATCGTAAAGCAGGATGTAGTGTTTGACGCATTTCCCACACTATTTGCCGATGAAGTACTGGGAGAATTAGGTAGACCACCACTGTTGCTGCCAGGAGAACGGTTGGGAATTTGTGGTGTCTGAATTTGGACCTGATGTTGAGGCAAAGATTGAGCTATATGCTGATGGGAGGATGGTGATGAAATGGAAAACTGGTTAACTTCCAGAAGTTCGCAGCTTTTACAATCGATGCCCTTTGTATCCGGATGATCGGGACATATGCTAGTAAATAATAAAGATTGTTTCTGGTGTTGCACCTGTTGCTGGATAAATTCTGTTAATAGTTTTACTCGGTTTCCATTAGACTCTTTAGCAGCCAAAGCTGCCAAGGAAGAGTGAAATGAACTGATTTGAGAAGGAAACGTGGTAGATGTTGGTGTTCCTATTGACTGTTGTAAAAATTCAGAGCTGGTGGCATCTAACTCATTTAGATGAGATGATGGACTTATAGATCCTCCGAACAGTGGGCATTTTATTTCAAGTCCTGCCGGTGATGATAGCTCCATTTCATGGGTATATTTGGGTGACTTATTATTACTTATATTATCAGTACTGTGTAATGAGACCTCTCCGGTGGCTGATATTAATGAGGGTGCAGGTGAGTTTGTTAAGGATACTATCAATAGGTTAGTCTTAGCTGTTTCTGAATTTAAGGAACCAAGTTTTGCAGATGTTTTTACTCCTACTTTAGGTGATGATATTGGTATCTTTGCACTAGGTGCGACCATACATCCACTACTACCGTCAAGTTTTGGCTGAAGATCTGATTCATGCAATTGATCCATGTTTGAGTACATTTCAGACCTGCATTCATTGTCTTTTTCATTAGTCTGTGTTTCTTTCTTTTCTGGCTCCGAATCATTTGGAAACTCTGATTGTGGTGACACCGACAGGAGACCTTTTCTATCTTCTCTGGATAACTGCAGTTTTTCGGTTTCATCACTGGAACTAATATCCAGAGGCTGCAAAAAAGATATCTGTGGCTTTTCATCCATGTTACGTTGTATAATGGCACTGGAGTACTCTCGATTAAGCAGCTGCTGCTCTAGCTCCTTCAAATTAAGCCTGTGATCTGTGTTTGCATGCAAGCCAAAAGTTTTAACGTTACCAAAAGACAATTTGCAAATAAAGCACATTAAAATGGGTTTTTCGATTTTGAATGCTTGTCTTGGACAATTAGAGTTTGCATCTTGCGCAGACACAACCCGGAAGGAATGTATTTTTGGGCTGGATCTATAGGTACCGCCGGATCCTGCTAGTAATTTTCTACCAAGATCAGAAACTTCGTCAATTTGATCAGGCTCATCTTTAGTCTGTTTATATGACTGAATATTCTGGTATCCTTTTTTTTTTTCCTGGCCGCTTATGGAAAGTTTTGTTACTGAAATCGAAGTTGAGGCTTCAACATTTTGAATATACTCCAATCCACTTCCATTTGCATGGTCTGCGTCAATAATATAAGCACTGCCATCGAGATTGTAAACTATTTTGCCTTCAAAAGTTTCCACATCAGATTTGGACATTGGAGAGCCGTCGTCATTACCATTATTAGAGCTGAAAAAAGTGAAAACGTTTTAAATGTTGGTACTCTTTTAATTTACATATTATTTTAATTTTTACACCCTTGCAGAGGGTATTTTAATTTTGTCCAAAAGTGTGCAACGAAGTGAAGGAGACATCTTCGACCCTATAAAATATATATATTCTTGATCAGGATCACCTCCTGAGTTAATATGAGCATATCCGGTTGTCCGTCGGTCTGTCTGTTTCTACGCAAACTAGTCTCTCAGTTTTAAAGCTATGGACTTGAAACTTTGCACACACCCTTCTTTCCTTTGCACGCAGTATATAAGTCGTATATCCTATAGCTTTCATATAACTGAATGATCGGAAATGGTATAACTTTGGTGTTTTTAAAGATAAAAAGCTGGAACTTAGTACAGATTCTATTTTTGGGCAGTTGAACCTACCAAATTTTATAAGAATCGGCTGACTATATCTTATGGCTGCCATATAACTGAACGATCGGAAATGGCATTTGGTAGAAATATCAACTTTCGTATTTTTGAAGATAGAAGCTTGGGACTTGTTTTAAATTTTTTTATCGTAACTGGTTTTATTATGATATTATAAGGATCGGCCAACTATATCCGATGTTTACGATATATATCTGGTTTTAACTGCAGGGGTATATCAACTTCGTCTCCGCCCGAAGTTAGCTTTCATTTCTTGTTTTTAAATGTAATAGTGAGAAACGACACATAAAGTATACTTTTGATTATAATCAGAATTCTGAGACCAGGTCAGATCGAAAGATGTCTATTTGCACATACCGTTTGAAATTTTTATTGTGTTCCCCTTTTGAACCGCTGCACTATGGTCCAAAAGCCCAAATTTTTGCACAAATGATGTTTTTTTTTTCTGAAATAATTTAATTTTGTTTAGTGCATAGTGCGCTAATCCATACCATTGGACGAGAAAAGAAAGGTGCATCATAAGATAAAAAAACATGACTATACCCCTTTCAATTTTTTATGCTTCCATTGCAGATGGTATTGTAATTTTTGTAAAAAGAGTTTTTGACACTTTTGTATATATGCACAAAATACAAAATCTATGCGATTGCTATGAATTTTAAAAATCTAAAGGACTGCTATAGTCGACTGTTTTTCGTCTATATTATACCCGGTTTTCATATCTTCCATTCCACATTAACTAACGTTTAAGTTTTAAAGTTCTCAATTATACAAGAGTTCTACAAAAAATACTTCCACTCAAATGTCGCTTCAATTTTACTTTGTGGTGCCACACATGACTCTTTTGGGTGTTTTAAAAAATACCGACAATCTTGCTAGTTTTTTTCTAAAATCAGAAATGAACTTGAGTTTAAAAACAATGAAGAAAGGCTAACTAATAAAGAAATGCCTAAGAAAGGCAAAACAACAAAAACAAACCTACGGCTTACTACCGATTCAGCAAGAAAGCAGACTAAAAAGTCTATAACTCCTCTAAAAATTATCCGATTTGGTTGATTTGTAGGTTTAGACTAGCCATTAGAACAGTTTGGCATAAAAACAATTTTTTTTAAAAACATTAACAAACTGGCGCTACAATGAGTATCAGAAGTGGGCGGGAGTGGGACAAACTTGAACTTGCGTAGGTATTGTAGGAGTCTTCATGCCAAATTCTATAGCTCAGATAAATGCAGATCAAGAATATATTCTTTATGAGGTCGGAGATGATTGCTTCTCTATTTTACGTAGATTACACGACTACAATATACCCTTGTACTCTACGAATACTGGGTATAACAATTATTAACAAATTATTACAACAAAGAATATATGTATATAAAAGGGTATATATATAATATATATAGGGTAAAACAATGAAAACAAAATATAAAAAATATTCCAAGCTTGTATCTGGAAAAGTACCAAAGTTGGTATTTCTACCGTATATAATACTATAATAGTACAGTCGTAGTATTTTGCCAAAAAAAAATTCATCGGAAATCTCAACTCTCTAAATCTAAAAACACCAAAGATTGGCTCCGTTTTTTAAAAAACCCAAAACAGGCATGTGTGGTACCCAAAAGTGAAGTTGAAGTGAAATTTGAGTCGAATTGTTTTTTGTAGCACCCAATTTTCAATAGATAGCACAGTGCAACATTGATTTGGAACTTTTAAAGAGACATAGTAGGAATTGTTTATCAGGTCGAATATAGCACATAACCGTGTTTGAAATATTTGTACCACCCTTAACATCTTTATTTATTCAGAAAAAACCGTTTTTCCGCACTTTTTTGCGCTTAAAAATTCCTAAACGCGTAATTTTAAATTTAATTTAAAATTTTCACACAATGTTTTTCAATAGTTTAATGTTGTTGCTTTTAAAAAAAGATACATCTTAAATTTTTTTAAACAAAAAGGATAAACTTATTAACACAAGAAAATGACATTTTTGCATTTTTGCCGTGTTTTTCGAACTTTGACTTTCGTTACAACCTACAAGAAAAATGTATCAAATATTCTTATAATTCTTGAATAAAACGAGACCAATTTCAATAAGAATTTATGAAAATTGTTGAATCTATAACGTTTTTCCCAAAACAAGCCAGTTTAATCTTGCTAGCGTTCCATCAAGCTTCACAGCTGTACACAGTTGGCCAAACAACATTGGTAACTCCACTTATGAATATAACTATATCTTGATAGCTGACTGGTACTGGTAATGGGAATGTCGATCACTGATTTACATAAAAATACAGAACTTAAAGATTTAAAAAACGTATAATACAAAAAGCAAATAATATACATATTTTTTATCAGAATTATAAATATATTTAAAGTCTAAGAATAATAATTTGAATAATTTTTCAATAGCATTTTGCACTACTTTACTAAAAGTCGCGGGAAGATTTAATATAAAAACTTAGGAAGTTTTGGTGGCGGCAGATATACCGCAAAATTTGCGAGTGGGAGTACTGACTATATAAACCAAAAACAAGAAAGGAAAGCTAACTTCGGGCGGAGCCGAAGTTGATATACCCTTGCAGTTAAAACCAGATATATATCGCAAACATCGGATATAGTTGGCCGCTCCTTATGGGAATATGATAATATAACCCAATTTATTATAATATAAAATCTAAAAAAAGTCCCAAACTTCTATCTTCAAAAATACCAAAGTAAGACTAAAACAAGAAAGGAAAGCTAACTTCGGGCGGAGCCGAAGTTGATATACCCTTGCAGCTAAAACCGGATATATATCGCAAACATCGGATATAGTTGGCCGATCCTTATGGGAATATGAATATATAATCCAATTTATTACAATACAAAATCTAAAAAAAGTCCCAAACTCCTATCTTCAAAAATACCAAAGTTGGTATTTCTACCAAAAAACCTTTCTGATCGTTCAGTTATATGGCAGCTATAAGATATAGTCGGTCTATCGTTATGAATTTTTGTAGGTCGGATCAACTGACCAAAAATAGAATCTGTACTAAGTTTCTATCTTCAAAAACACGAAAGTTGGGTCATTTCCGATCGTTCAGTTATATAGAAACTCTCTAACTCTAAAAACACCGAAGTTATACCATTTCCGATCAATCAGTTATATAGCAGCTATAGTATAGTCGATCCAAGCCGTTCCGACTTATATACTGCGTACAAAGGAAAGAAGGGTGTGTGCAAAGTTTCAAGTCGATAGCTTTAAAACTGAGAGACTAGTTTGCGTAGAAACAGACAGACGGACAGACAGACAGACGTACAGACGGACATGCTCATATCAACTCAGGAGGTGATCCTGATCAAGAATATATATACTTTATAGGGTCGGAGATGTCTCCTTCACTGCGTTGCACACTTTTGACCAAAATTATAATACCCTCTGCAAGGGTATAAAAAGATGCCTCGGTAAAACCAGTTAAGAGATATGAAAACTAAAACAAGAAAGGAAAGTTAACTTTGGGCAGAACCAAAGTAGATATACTCTTGTTTATGTCAAATTATGTTGTTTATGGTACTTATGGTTTATAATTTATACTGATGACTATAAAATGATAACATAAAAAACTATGACTATAAAATTATTAAAAATCATTTAAAACTCAGAAACTTGAAATACGGAATATTGCTTAAAACTAAAACAAAAGAAAAAGGCAAACTGGCAGACAGTCATATGGACATATATGGTGACGATATATAAACTTAGGTGATGATGTTATAGAATATATATACATACTTCATAAGGCTTAAAATGTTTCCTTCACTGCGTTGCACACATTTTACATACATTTTACCTTTACAATACTATATTTAAATTCTCTCTATAAGAGCATTTAAACCTATGGCTTAAAAAAAAGGTCCAATAAAAAAAAATAAAAACCAATAAAAAAAAAAGTAAAAACCACGGAAATGGAAACCATTAAAAATATAACTTTTTGCATCATAAACAAAATTTTAGTAAACTGGTGAACTTTCTGATGCAATTGAACAAAAAATAGGTAACCAATCGTAATTTGGTTTATAGACAGATACATTCATACACATTTTTTTTTTAAGTATACATTTTTATAAGTATATATTTTACACACATACATTGAAGTGCGGTGGTTTTTATAAAAAACGAGAAAGAAAAGCTAACTTGGGCGGAGCCGAAGTTGATAAGCCCTTGCAGTTAAAACCCGATATATGTACATATATCGCAAACATCGGATATAATTGTCCGATCCTTATGAGAGTATCAAAATAAAACCAATTAATTACAATAAAATATCTAAAAAAAAAAGTCCCAAGCTTCTATCTTCAAAAATACCAAAGCTGGTATTTTTACCAAAAACCATTTCCGATCGTTCAGTTATATGGCAGCTATACCAGCGATATGTATATATGCAAGGGTATATCAACTTCGGCTCCGCCCGAAGTTAGCATTCCTTTCTTGTTCTATATAAAAAGGGGAAAAAAACTTTAGAAAACTCTCTGAAATTTACGTACGTCTGAAGTTTACTTATCCTACTTGTTGGTGATTAAAAAGTATTAACGATCGCC